CATCTTCCGCCACCTTCATATATGTATTTGCAATACTGCAATTTGTCTACTGCCTGATGACACTTAAGAAGCTATCTGAGAAGCTATCCACATCGTCACTGAGCGTATTGCCCTCAACCCAGTCACACACCCCCCTTCCCCGCATATCATCACTCCAGTCCCACTGCTGATCCCAACATCAGGATAGCAATATCCCTCCTATTGCTGTACTGGACATACCAGCTTCTCCATCTCCTACCCCCATCACACCTACCAAACGCAGATACCCACTCAAATGAAGATCGTCCTGCATCGCCACCAAATGGGCTGCATCAACCTCCCCGCATAAACCACTCAAATGATCAAGATCCCCTTCTCCCCCAGAACAGTCAACCTCTGTCACAATCATGAAAACTGCACCAGTTGATAATGTTGTGTGCCATAATTGTCGTGCTGCAGGGCATCGTCACAAGAACTGCCCTGCGTACTATTGTCGGTCTGCAAAGAGTATGCACCCAGACACTTATTGGTCTTTTGCAGGGAGTTAAAAGGAGAGGCAGTCATTCCACTGGTTTGGACTGACCCTGGTTTCTACGAGGCCTTAGCTCATTGGGAGATTGAGCAAGATGCCATTTACCACGCCACTGAGCTAACTGATAGGTCGCACCCTATCACAGAAGAACAGGACAATCTGCTCTATTCCAACTATGATGCTGACCCTATTTACTGGGCGAATCAGGATGACTGAAGTCGGTGACTTCATTCCTAAACATGGGGTAATGTTACAGTAATGTTTGCCCCTATTCATTTTCCCTTTCTCTCTTGTGTATTACGTCATGACCATGTCCTATTGCGCCATTACTAGACTTACCTCTTATCCTATCTGTATTATATCACAATCGCATTGCTGTCGCTAGATGACTCATCCTTATCTCTGACTCATTCTTATCTCTGACTTGTTGCTGACATATACATACCTGCCCTAAGGTACTTATGTCTATATAAACCTGGTCATGTACTTAGTAGATCTTTACTTTAATCTTACTAGGTTTCACCAGAACTTCCTTCACTTAGGACTCCCAATCCTAAGTTGTCTGATCACTGATATTCAAGTCAGAGACACTCTCTTTGACTTGTCTTACAACCTTTGTATTTGCAAAGGTCTTGATTCAACCTCAGTCGTTGCTCTTATCAAGTAACTGTTGTTGCGACTTCTTTTCAGATCTGCAAGAAGTGAACTAATGAGTGAGATAATTGATGTTCTTTAAAATGTGCTGCTGGCAGAGTGTAAAGTTGAAAGTCCAGTGCAGCATGTCACAAAGCTGTGCCAGCATTGCCAAATCACAGAGTGCAGCATGGGCAATAATAAGACCTGTAAACCTCAGCTTTGTGACTCATTCTGCATGATTCATTGATGCTTACAAAATAGGATTAAATGGTATGAGAGCTGCATGGGATATCAAAAAGTACAGAGGGCATCATGTCCTTTCCCCTACTATCATGCAAGAATTCAATGATACTCACTAGATAGCTTGAGTTTGAGTCTACATCAGTGAACTGGCAGAAAGATGACATGATGATGTATAGTAACTGTCATATCCCATATGCCAGACATAGATCCCATCATATTCCCGCGCTTTCTGGACCTGTTTCCAGACCCCATATCCAACTCATTCCTGGATCCCCTATCCTGCCCACCATATGCACATTCCATCCAGCAAGACATCCAGACTTTACCTCCTCTTGGATTCCAGACTACATCCACCACCTCACATATCTCAGTCCTGTTTCTGCCCTGCCTTCTGGATCACCAGATCTCTGGATATTAACTGTTACTATCTCCGGACCTATTCCCGCCCTCTATCTGAGATCCTGTGCCTATCCCCATTTAGGCATCTCCGCCTTTCTGGTTCTTGGTTATCTCTGTTTCTGTCTTGCTGATTGATCCTTGTACTAGTTTCATCTCCGAGTTCATTTACTTATGTTCTGTCTTACTTACCAACATGTTTCTGCATGCTCGTACATAGCCTTACTCCTTTGCTTACTGATCCTCTCAGATAGCCTCTAGTATATAACCCCTGTACAACTACAGTAGAGTCCTTAGTCTGAATATCACCTTAGATACTTGCCCAATCATCTTCCGGACTTCAGTCCATCTGAGTCTCATCCTTTTCCATAAGGCCTAGGGATGCCTTCCCTAGGCCAGAATTTAGGACCTCGGATTTGTCCCCTATGTCTCTGTCCCAAGTCTAGGGATTGCTTCCCTAGGCTAGAGTCTTGCCTTTCCAGCACTTACCCTCTTTCTGGACTTAGGTCCACTTCCTGTCCCTCTGACTCTACCTTAGGGTAGTCTACCTCCGTTTGCTTCTACATCGGACTTTGTCCAATGTAGCCCCTATTCCTTCTGGACCTCCAGACATCCTGTCCCTCATACCTCTGGGCATCCTGTCCTTCAGATGTTCTGCCCTCCATACCTTCGGACATTCCATCCTCCATACCTCCATGTCCTGTCCTCCAGACCTCCGGACCTCCTGTCCTCCATACTCTGGACTTCCGGACATCCTGTCCTCCAGACCTCCTATCCTTCCATCCTGTTTTCCTGTAGAAGTATTACCTTGCAGCGGGAACTCTCCTGAGCATTTCCTGCATTCCTCCAGAACTCTCCCGTGCTCCTCCAGATGTTTCCTGTGCTCCTCTGGAAGTCCTCCTGCACTCTCCACCAGAGTAGCCAGCCTCCAGAAGTCCTCCAGACTTCGTTGGACCATCATTGGACTTCCTCTGAAATGAAGGACACATACTTGGGTAAGGGGCACAGCGTACGAGCTGAGGCCAAGCCCCTCTGAGTCAGTCTCTCTCTCCTTTGAGCATGGTTCTTAACAGTAACACATAGTACATAATTGCAAACATCAGCGTAATTCTGTCATCAACCATCACATCATCATATCTGACCTTGTAGAGGAAAGGACCTTGCCTAAATTTCATACACCAGTATATGATCCTGAAAACACACACATATTATTCAAGCTCCAATGTGAAGGGAATGTGGAGCAAAAGCTGAGATTCAAACTTCTTGTGTGTTGATTGCATTGCATCTGGTAAGTCTCATAATGTTTGAAGTTCCTCAATCCTAGGATGCTAGTCTGCAATCCAAATGGAAATTGAATGAACCTCATTTTGATCAGTATGTGGTCAAAATGTTCCGCACAACACTCATAGCTAGTATTCTCCAAAAAACAACACACCTTTTTCCAGGTGTGTACACATCAAGCTATATCATAGTGTAGATTTTGCTGCTAACCTGCTGTAGATTGTTGATGCTTGTCCACTATATATCAATTGCAAATCTGTATGAAAAAGCTGTACCTGTATAACAGCAAAGATATGTTTCATCAAGTGAGTGAGCATGCAGTTATGCCTTACTTCAAATCTCCATGCATCCTTTCATGAGTATTCCATAACTTGACACCTGTATTCACTTGGGACAAACCCTAAGGAGGTTGTCATGTCATACAAATGCTTGTGCCTTTAGGACATTTTACCTTGGCTCGGGAGTTTACATCAGTGAGTCATGCTTCACCTAGGTACCTTACTTACCATTCAACCAATATCTTATGTATTGCGCCACACATTGATATGATTGTGTTTATGGCAGCTCCAATTGCCATTGCCATTGCTAGATGATCTATTCCTGTTATCTCTGACTCATTCCCTTATTGCTGATGCATCCTATATCCCATGCCTGCCCTAAAGCACCATAGTTCCCTATATATAGGATGTCTTGTACACTGTAGTACTTTACTTTAATCTTACTAAATTTTACCTGGAACATCCTTAGCTTAAGACCTCCAATCCCTTATTGTCTAAACTGTACTTTAAATTAGAGGCACTCCCTCTACCTTAGCCTACACTGAATGCTCAACTTATCATCTTGCATAGAATCTCAGTAGAGGTCATTGATTCTTATTGAGTTGTCTGTCATTAGAACTATCCTAGTTCATAACAGTATCTGTGCAGTCACAACCACATTGGCTTAGACCATCCATGAAATGAGAAAGTTGTTCTTGGGCAGCATTAGGTCTTTACTGGATTTCTTGTGCTATGCTCAAGTAATTGCTGACTTATACATAGGCTGAACAGATATCCTGACTTGTCCATGTCTTGTGAATTGGGCTGCCAGTTTGATATCTCCTACATTTGGTATCACCTCTCAGCTTCCTTGTATTTCTCAATGTGTACACAGACAGAGAGAATATCTGGACTTTTATCTATGTCATGGGGTGGGTCATCATTTGGATAGCTGTTTGATGATTTTTGTCACATCACATTCTCTATAAAGCTATCTGTTGTGGCACCTATCACACTGGATTTCCTCAATGTAGCCTACTAAACAAAAGCAAGGAAATTTGCTGGTTGTGGCTTAACCCGTATTCTGTATGTTGTTTGCAACATATCTAATGAGGTGCAGAAGACCTGATCTGTTACTTAGATTCACCAATTGTAGCTTAATCTGTACTCTGTTGATTATATGTCCATGAGGTGCAACATGCAACCCCATCTGTTGATTTCTTCATATTGGCACAAGCACAGATATCAATGATATTCACATCAAACAAATTTAGAGCAAATCATGACATTAAAAGAGTAAACTATTATTGTGATGTATTAATAATGGCTAACACTGACACATGAACTACTCCAAATTGTACTGGATGTCATCCAGTTGTGCCCTCTGTAATGCAAGAGCATTTATGGACATTTTAGCCTTTGCTGCACTACTGAGTTCTGCCTGATGACTTGTTCCAAAAACTTTTCTGATAAACAGAGATTAGTTGACAGCTGTTAGCTTGCAATCAATTTACCTTGTCCACCACACCAGGAGCTGGTCAACATTGCACTGAGCGATGTGACCAGGGGGGCATTCAAAGAAGTCCACAATGTTATTCCAATGACATCACAGACAACAGTGTGAATCACAACTAGTGCATGTGCCATAAAATTTTAGTGGGTAAGGACACCAAACATTAACCACTTACTTGACATGATGCATATGCAATCAAGTGAGGTGACACTTTGTACAGTCTGATGATTTGAGCCACATGGGTTTTGACTTTCTTGCCCAAGATATCCCTCTTTGCATGTCTGTTGTTTTCAATGATGTTAGTGCCATCACTGTCACCAACAACTCCCTTTGCCGAAGATGGAGATGTAAAGATCACTTTGAATGCCTGGCAGAAATGAGCACTTTGTGAAACTGGTTATGTACAATGAGCCTGGACTGAAAGTTTGCTCTTGAAGAGGCCCTCCTCAAGATTATTCTGATTGGTGGTATATCCTGCATAAAGGAATGCCAGCCATGACATTTCTGTCATAATATAGCCTTCTGTGCAATCCCTGATGTGGAACCTTGCTCAGGAAGATAGCAAGGAACACTAAATGAGTCGGACAAAAGTAACAGGACAAAACTGTGGATTCTTAGAATGTTGTCCTAATGAATAAGTGATGGTAGGTAGGAGACCCAAGTCTCAACTAAGCAATATGAAAGTGGCAGAATATAAGGGGCAATGTCACATGACATGCGATAAGATAAGCACATAGTAAGTGTCCAGCTTACACCCTCTCATTCTCTGAAGACTTTTCTGTGACATCTGTTTCTTCACTTGTTGTGTCTTGATGTGTATCTTCATTGGCCAAGTGGTGTGCGACACTGTTGTCTTTATTGGTTCAGCCATGAGTGGCATTGTACTCTTGCAGTACATGAGTGTCTTCTAGCTCCTTTCCTGGTACCCATACATCAGCATCTGAACCATATCTGTGCCAGCATATGAGATATTAATGTCTGCACCCACATATTCATCTGTCCAAGACTTTCTCTATCTCCCATTCTTCTGTTCCAGTTTTCGTCACTATGGGCCCAGGATGTTGAAGCTCACATGAAGGATAGAGTTCAGTGTTATTTGGAATGTGACATTTTAGTTCTGATACATGAAAGGTAGGATAAACATTAGTATGGTCTGGCAGGTTGAGAGTATAAGTTGATGACTCAGGGTTCGCAGAAACTACTGTGTAGGATCTGTCAAACTGAGGCATGAATTTAGCCACATATTTGTTGTTTCCATTGAGGTATTCTCATCTTCTGTGGGCTGTTGAGAGATACACAGAGTCCCTGACTTTGAATGAAGGATCTTCTGTTCTATGTGCATTGGCTGCATGTGCTTGAGCAATCCTTGATGCTACAAGCAGCATCATGTGCATCCACAATGTCTGTTTTCAGGGATACAATCACATTAAGCGCACTTGCAATGTTGGCAGGGAAATCTTGTTGTGTTTCATGGATGTTCTCTGGCATTAGTGGTGTCCTTCCCAGGTGCAGGTGGAAGGGCATGTACCCTGTCAAGGTGTTAACTGATGACATGGAGTTGAATCTTACCCAGGGAAGTGCATTTACCCATCTGGCTTGATGTCTGTCTATGAAGTGTCTGAGAACTTGGTCAACAGTTTTGTTTGTTTGTTCGCTTGTGCTGTTGGTTTGTGGATGGTACGCTGTTGACATCTTCAGCTTCACACCTGTCAGTTAGTGCAGTGCCTTCCAAAACTTGCTTGTGAACAGCTTGTCACAATTGGAAACTATGCTCAAGGGGATACCATTCTCACAATACCAATTGTTGAAGAACAATCCCACCACCCCCCTTGCCTTCATATTCATTCGGCAGGGTATCAGGTGGATGTCTGCTCCCAAGTAGTCAGTGAGCATCATAATGCCATCAAAACCATGTTCTGCTGGTAGCAGTCTGATGAAATCTACTGCAATGGAATCTCCCCAATGGTCTGGCACAGGGAGAGGATGCAGCAGGCTGGTTGGCTTCATTGTTCTGCTCTTGTTGTGCACACATTCTGGGCATGCAGGTATGTAGCTTTCTTCAAGGTTGTGCCTCATGTTCGGCCAGTAGTATGATTCACAGATCACCACATAGGACTTGTTGATCCTGAAGTGGCCTAGTTGGTTGTTGGCCTAGTTGGTTGTGAGCCAGGTGGAAGATGGTTTCCTGCAGGTGCATGACACAAGGGATCACCAATCGGTTGCTCAGGTACATCAGACATTTGCAATTCTGCAAACCTGGCAGAGAGTCAATCTGTTTGGTCAGCTTAATGCACCAGGGGTCTGTAAGATACCCCTTCTTGATGTCCTTCAGCAATGAGTTGTCAGGCATCACCAATGTTAAGGTCATACTCAAAGGATAACTGGATCTGAAGGGCTTCAGCCTCAGCTCATGCGCTGTGCCCCTTACCCGAGTATTGCCCCTTATTTCAGGAAGGCAAGACTAATGGATCTAGAAGGTCAGATGAGTAGCATAACAGATCCGGATGACTTCCAGATGAGGGATAAGTATTGTAGGGCTAATCCAGACGAGTCCAGACTAGAAACTAATGGTAATGGACTGTCAGAGACAGAGGTGGATATGGATAGACTATAGGAATCAATCCTAAGTCTTGGAGGGTGACAAGAGTAGCAGTACTTAGGTCTGGAGGATGAAAATGAGCAGAACTAAGATGATATTCAAACTGAGGTACTACAGAAAGTTACAGGAGGTTATATACTATAGGTATCTAATGGAATGATCAATCAGCAGAGTCCGAGGCTATGTACGAAGCATGTGGATAGTCTATTGGTAAGTAGAAACGGATCACAAATCATGAAATGGAAATGAAACATAGGTAGTGGATAAGGGAGCAGGACGGATATACAGATAACTGAAATACTGGAGTTAGGGGGTTACCGAAAGGAGACGAGTGCTGGTTGTGGATTCAGATGAGTTGTGGACCAGACTGGACGAGTGGACAGGTTGAATGATGAGATGTGTGGAGGAAGATAAGATGTGAATAGGATTGGAGATAAGATGTGGATCTGAGATCTGGATATGTGGATATGACAACCAACAGGACTACCACAATAGGTTTGTGTTTGCTGATTGCAGCGGGCATGTGTACTGTTTGTTTCACATATGTCAGTGTGCTGTTGCTGTCTCGAGGTAGTTGAGATAGGGCATTGGCAACCAAGTTTTCCTCACCATGAATATACTGAATGTTGAAGTTGTATTGCACAAAGAACTCCTGCCATCTTGCTTGTTGTTGCAACAGTTCTTGCTGTGTCATAAAATTTTCTAATGTTCTGTGGTCAGTATACATGGTGAATGGTGTTCCCAAAAGTTCAATCTGCCATTTCTTGAGTGCTTGCATGATCACTAATAGTTCTTTTTCATGTACAGGATAGTTTAGTTGTGCCTCACACAGCTGCATACTTCATCCAAGTCTAGGGTGCTTACTACTTCTGTCTTGGACTTCCCAGTGACCTATCTCCATATTATATGAGTGAATGGACATGCATAATATCCTGTATAATACAGGCCAGTGGACCATAGGCTGAAGGTCAAAATATCCCTGATTATGATGGATAGGCCAGGAGGGATATTATTTCCAATGGGGATGGGTGGGTCCATCTATGCCAATGTTATAAATATCCTTGACAATGATGGATGGGCTGGGAGAAATATTATTACCAATAGAGGTGGGTGGGCCAATCTGGGCAATATGTAGAGTAGGATAGACATATATGATAGACAGCTGGGCTGAAGAGAGATGTATGGCAGATATTATTATGTAGACAGGTGGACCAACATATTAGTATTATTTTGTAGATGGGTGGGCCGATGGGGTGGTGAAATATTCATTATATATACAGGTGGGCCAAGGTGGGGGTATATTAGATAGATGGGTGGGCCAATGGGGTGGTGAAATATGTATTATATAGATGGGTGGGCTGACATAGGGGGATGTCATATAGATGGGTGGGCCCAGATACATATTATTTAGATGTATGTGCCAAGGTATTGGTATACTATATGGACATATGAGCAATGCTGTTGCACTAGTTTTGATCCAAGTCATCAATGACATTCAGACTCAGATCCTGTCAATGTCAATCAAAGTCAACACAGCCAAGCACCCTGTCAACTTGGAATCCAGTGATACCTTGGAAGACAGTCCATAGATGTAAGGGCCAAGGTATTTGTATACTATATGGATGTATGGATGTATAGGCTGAGATAGTGATATATATTATATCGATGGGTGGGGCAAGGTAGTTGTTATCACACATAAACATAAACCTGACACCTGAAACCTGAAACTTGAAACTCAAATCACCGAGTACTGAGTCCTGAAGCCCAAACATTGAACCCTGAACATCAAAACCTGAAACTCAAAAGTTGTAAAAATGTATGAGTTTCATAGGTAGTTGTATATCATCCAAATCAAAGGAGGTAATAATTCAAAGTCATCTAATGATGAAGGTCACAAGTGCCAGAAAATCGAGCACCCAGTACAGATGCAAACATGCAGCACCAACTACTGAGTAGCTAATACACACGGCATGCATTGCCCTACAAGAAGCCAAGTTCTGACTACCGAACATCAAGTGAAGGGTACCAAGATCTGAGGCCCAGGTCTCGACAAACAAATATCTGATATCCAGCACACTTCCAATCATCTGGTATGTCATTGAGCAATGGATGATAACACATCTTTGGAAAATAACATCATGCAAGGCTCCCTTATCTGATCCTCACTATCTCCACCCCCTTTAACTCCAAAGTGTGGACATGCAGGATTTGGCATCTGATTTCCCAAGATCAATTCCATCATGACTGTTTCTTCCACTTCCAATATTGAAATAACCCTCTGGCACACTTGTGCCCTGACTGTCACTCACAAGGCATGTGAATATACTGAACAGAAATTCAATGCAGAGAAGACAGGAGGAGACCCAGTTATACCTTCTCTGAACCTAGACACTGATCTGGTGATGGCTTGTGATTAATTGGTTGATTGCCTGATAAAGGCATATAAAAATCCCAGTGGGTCTTCCTGCAGATTCAGAAAATTGGTTTTATCAGTCAAATTGCTTCATCACAGTTCAGATGCAGATCAATGTTGCAAGATATAGCAAATTGATCTCCCCAAAGGACACTGGGCATAATGAAGAGAGAGAGGAGAAGTTGCTTGAGAGGTGTCCTCCTGGCCATGAGGGCACAAAGTTGGTTGAGATACCTGCCACAATTCTTGATGCATCCAGTGCCATCATCACATGATATGTCCCAGATGCCCTGACTGATGCCACCCAGGTGTGTAATATATATTGTTACTTGATAGATACTGAACATCAAATGGTGCCTACAGAAGGAAATTTGGGCAGCCTCTGATTTGCTCACTCCAATCCTTGAAAAAAGCATCAAGCTTGACAGCAATTGGTGAACTAATCAAGAGTGGTTCAAACCAAGCTCAGAAAATGATGTCTTAACTCCTGGATGCATCAATTTGTCTCTGGCATGGTTTCAACAGGGGCACAAGGTAGGATCTGATGCAATGGTGATTTTGGTAGTCAAACTCACAAATCCCCTAGAATCAGTCAGATCTGGAGGTATCTGCATCATTGAAGGGGGCATCCTCCAAGAAGATCCTCAAAGCCATTGCGAGGCCAGCAGCCATTGCAACAGCAGCACTCAGGATAATGCATCCTGAGCAGTACTGGGCAGGTTTGCAAGCCTTTTCAAGCCTTGGAGAAAAGGCAGAAAGCAAGGAACTGCTGAAGATGTCAGAGACTCTCCAGTACTGGGCATCCATGTTTAACAGCCTGTCTGTCATTTCCAATTGGGAAACCCCCAATCATCAAGACCATTTATCTATTCCTGAATGCTTTGACATTCTCACTACTGTGGGAATTATTCTAATGCTTGGATGAGCATGCCAAGCCTTCAGCTGGAGTTCAGGTATGATCTGGGTTGCATGATTGCATTTTCCGGAAGGATCATGAGACATGGGGTTCATGCAGTGGAAGGGGATCAGATTGCTTGGGCATGGTATATGAGGGATTCTGTTCATGTTTATGCCAGGGTTCTGCCATGTGGATGGGCTAGGGTGGATTACAAACAGTGAAAGATCAAACAAGTAGAAAGTGTAGTTACCCATGTTAGCACCTACTGTCAAATACCAGATATTAGATCTCTGGATCTCAAATATTCAGGCCTCAATATCTGGAACTTACACTTGATAGTCAGAACTAGATACTCAATATGGCATATCTGGATCTTGATACTCACTATATTTGGGATTCAATATTTGGAACTCAATATCTGGAATTTGACATTCCATAGTTGGGTCTTGAATATTGACACCCGACTATTGAATACCAAATACCAAATACTGAATACTGAATACTGAGTCCCTAATATCAAATATCAACACCTGAATATCAAGTCCCAACTATTGAGTATTGAATATCAAAACCCAACTTGATAGTCAGGTCTTGATATTCAATAGTTGGGACTCGATATTTGGTATTTGGTATTCAATAGTTGGGTCTCAATATCTGAATCTCAATACTCAATACTTGATATTCACCATTCGGGTCTCAATATTCAGGACTCCACACTCACAACTTGATATACCAGGTCTTGACATTTGATTCTCAATAGTTGAATGTCAAGACCCAAATATCAAGACCTGACTATCAAGACCTGAATCTCAAATATCAAGAGCTGACTATCAAGGAATTCAACATTCAATATTCAGGTCTCAACATTTGGAACTTGGTATTTGGAACTTGGTATTTGGAACTCAGTATGTGGCACTCAGTATTCAGTATTTGGTATTTGGTATTCAATAGTCAGGTCTTGAGATTCAGTAGTCCATTTTTGGGACTTGGTATTGGGGACTTGATATTCAATAGTTGGGTCTTGATATCTGAATCTCAATACTCGATACTCAATATTTGGGAGTCCACATTCACAATGCAATATACAATTGTCTGGACTCAATACTTGATATTCAGTATTCAGGACTCAGCACATAATGTTAGGATAGATATTTGGAAGATGGTATGTCATTTTCATGGAGTTTGGACATCAACATTCTGAACTCAAGGACTAGGACTACTCTCCTCTTCCTCTCTTCAATCTGGTTAGGATGCTGGTGTACACTTCAATCTCTGCCATCTTTTCACTGATGCCCTCTTCTTGCTCCTCAACCAATGTCCAGAGGCATTCTCTAAGCCACCTCAGTCCCATCAGTGATGGAACTGAGGTGTTATCCACCTGCTCAGGAAGAATCAGACCATCATCCTCAATGCCACCCTAGAACAGATTAATCATCACTCAAGTAAATTGTTCATAGTTCTTACTAGCCAATGCTGGTAGTGAAAGATACAGCAACCCATTACCCAATCCCATTGCCATAATGTGTCCAGGATTGCAGTGCATCCAATCTATCATGCAGTATCATAGCTGGATATAATCCTGGAGGGATCTCCTGGATCTGTGATATCATGAAAGAGACATAAGTGGGATGAAAAGACATGGTCCAGAACTGTGTTCCAGGTGAGCTGGGGAAACAACTGAAGAATATGGGCAACCAGGTTTGGAATAACCAAGATGATGTGCCTTGCAGCTGAGTACTGCAGGATGGATGTCACAAAAGTCTGTTGGAAATATCAGCATTGACCACCACAGTCATCAGTCTCTTACAGCAATCTCCCATTGCAGCCCAGCTTTAAGGTGCATGATCTGAGCAGCAGAAGGCTCCTCAGTGTTGGCAGCATCTGTCTGATATTGTGAGATAGATGCTCAGATGTGCAATGCAGCCATTGACATTGTGGCTGCAATATCTGCAAGACCAAGTGTCAGGGGTTGGTATTCATTGCTGGAATCCACAGTATTAGAAGGGGATGCAGGAGGAGTATGCAATACAGGCATGGCTAATGCAGGAGTATGACACTGGAAATGACAATCACAATGACAGTTTGTTCGGATGTGAAGATATGAGCCACTGGTTAATGGATAAAAAATTTCAATCTCCAACATTGGTTGATCCAGGCATTTCCTGAGACTAAAATGTTTGGGTCAAAGTAGCTGTTTCATATCATTGGCAAAAAAATTCATTCATCTTGAGCATCTATGAACCTGCTCTGCAGGTCTTGAAATGCTGCCTGGGCATCCTGTGCCAGTAATGAATACATTTGGGACTGCCTTCCTGAGTAGCATGCATGACCTGGAAGGTATTTCACCAATGATTCCTGCATCCTGTCACCTCATTGGGTTGCTTTTCACAAGAAAAAGTTACATGTCCAATCCATCTACAATTGGACCAATGTCATTTCTTCCTTCCATTGATCCTGTAGGGCCTTTGCCCAAAGCCAATGAATTCGGTAAACTTCAGATGGGTCCTGTCAGCTGAGTGTGGGATAAGTCATGCATGCCTGAACTCACATTCCTCATTCCATGAGTGATCAGGACCCCTCAGGTCAACTTTGACTGACCAGAACCAAGCAAGAGACTTGTTTTGCTGACTTTGGGCATTTGGATTGCTGATGGCAGTGCTGATTTTGAGCTGCTTGCAAAGCAGTGGTTTGTATTTCTGAAGCTAGTCTTGCCCCAGCTCAAGTTGCATTATTTGCTTCTGGGTCTTTGTACATACATTTTTGTGAGATTCAAGTTTGGAGTTTTGGGTGTTTGGGTGTTTGGGTTTTGGGTGTTCAGTTTTCAAGACTCAGTGATTTATGGTGAATGAAAAATGGATGTGTTGCCCACTGGGTTTTGGTTTTTGGTTTTCAGGCTTTGGTACTTGGTGATTGGTGATTGGTGAATGTCAGACATGGTGTATTCAGGGTTTTGGGCTTTGGTGGTCGATGGTAGGTATATGCACTCATATAGTGGGTATGTACTCCATGTGCTCAATTCTCTGGTGCCTACATCAGCACACTGATTCCTATGTTATCCAAGTATCTCAGCCTAGTCATGTTTATTGCACTATTTACCTGGGCCCACCTGTGTATATGATAACTACCTGGACCCACCCAACATGCAACTTTGGGTGTTGGCATTCAGTACTTGGCATGGTGAAGAGTTTTGAATCTCAATGTTTGAGTTTCGGGTGTCAGGTTTCAGTACTTGGTGAATGTCAGACATGGTGTATAAATTGAGACTTGACACTCATACATTTTTACAACTTTTGAGTTTCGGGTGTCAGGTGTTGGGTTTTGGGTTTTGGGACTTGGTGATTTGAGTCTTGAAACTCAAAACTCAAAATTCGGATATTGGTATGACTTTCAAGTATCAAATCACTGAGTCCCAAAGTCTGAGTCCTGACACAACTTCATGTGTCAGCATTCGGTATTTGGGACTCAGTGATTCAAGACTGAAAACTTGACAGTCATAAAAATGTTTGAGTTTTGAGTTTTGATGTTGGTGTTTCAAAGTTTTGGGTTTTGGGTTTTGGGTTTTGGGTTTTGGGTTTTGGGTTTTGGGTTTTGATGTTTTGAGTTTGATGTTCGGGTTTTGGGACTCTGTACTCACTGTGTTGATTTTGCTCGACATTAACAGGATCTGAGTCTGAATGTCATTGATGACTCGGATCAAAACTAGTGCAACAGCATTGCTCATATGTCCATATAGTATACCAATACCTTGGCCCATATGTCTAAATGATATGTATCTGGGCCCACCCATTTATATGACATCCCCCTCCATTGGCCCACCCATCTATCTAATATACCCTACGTCAGCCCACCCGTATATATAATACATATTTCCCCGCCCCATTGGCCCACCCATCTATCTAATATACCCCCACATTGGCCCACCCATCTATATAATAATATCTACCATACATCTGTCTTCAGCCCAGCTGTCTATAATATATGTCTATCCTACTCTACATATTGCCCAGATGGGCCCACCCATCTCCATCAGTAATAATATTTCTTCCAGCCCATCCACCATCATCAAGGATATTTATAACATTGGCATAGATGGGCCCACCCATCCCCATTGGAAATAATATCCCTCCTGGCCCACCCATCAACATCAAGGATATACATAACATCAGCCCATAGTCTGCTGGCCTGTCTTATATGGGATATTATGTAGGTTGGGTGACCCATATAATATGGAGTTTGTCACTGAAGGGGCTCCTTCAATCCTGATGGGGGTTGGCTGGGTCAATGAACTTCTCAATGGCCATCCAGAATGGATTCTATGTGAGCTTGGCATGCATCGCCATGTATTCATTGTACTGCTACAATTACTTCATGAGGGTGGCATAAACAACTCAAAACATGTAACCCTGAAGGAACAACTAGCCATCTTCCTATATGCCACCTTGCTGAGCATTTTCAACACTCAAATGATACTATATTGAAGTGCGTCCTCCCACTCTTACCCTTATGCATGCTCAATATTCCTTTCAGATATTTCAAATGAATTCTCATTGCATTCTCCTCCCACCTAATCTATTCCACTTACATCCAGCTCCCCAATGCAGACACTCCAATACCATCTTAAATCCTTGAGACAAGAAAATTATATCCATACTTCACTGATGTAATCAGTGCTATTGATGGCACACACATCACTTGCCATCCCTCAGCTGCTGATCATGATGCCACTTGTGACCACAAAGGTAATTTAACCCATAATTGCCTTGCTGCATGCGACTTCAACATGCATTTCACATACATGTTGAGTGGCTTCCAAGGGTCTGCAGTGGATGCATGTGTCTACAATGTGGCTTGTCTGACCAATTTTACAATCCCTCCAGGCAAGGTTTACCTTGCAGATGCTGGATTTGGCATGTGTGATGAATTGTTTGTGCCTTATTGTGGTGTCCACTACCACCTTGCTGAATGGGGCCACACAAATCAGGTGTATGTTGCAGTGACCTGACTTATCACCCTGGCACAGTACTTACACATCTTTGCAGGCCTTTCAATGCTCAGGAATTATATAACCTATGCCATGTGCAGCTCCACAATGTCATCCACATCCACAACCCAGACAAATTATTGGACTATTGTGACATGGAGTCAGATGAGTGGAGCACTGATTATAATAGTGGCACACTTACTGATGGACCTCCCACTGAAGGAGCACACATTTGTGCACACAATGTTCAAGATGAGATTGCTGATGCAATGTGGGATGATTACCTTGTGGAACTGCACTGTAGAGGAGCATCTTTGCCACCTGGTGCAAACTGAATGTAATTAGTTCTGTCATTTGTTGCTGTTGTTTTTCTTTCAATGTACAATGTATCTTTGCTGCCAACTCAAAATATTGTATTGCATGCGGATAAGAACAACTGCTTCAACAACATTGAAAAAAAATCTAATGTGAAGGTATTATAGCAGTAGGTATCACAGCAATTCCTTGTTAAGAACCATGCTCAAAGGAGAGAGAGACTGACTCAGAGGGGCTTGGCCTCAGCTCATACACTGTGCCCCTTACCTGAGTATGTGCCCTTCATTTCAGAGGAAGTCCGATGATGGTCCGATGAAGTCCAGAGGACTTCTGGAGGCTGGCTACTCTGGTGGAGAGTGCAGGAGGACTTCTGGAGGAGTGCGGGAGAGTTCCGGAGGAATGCAGGAAATGCTCAGGAGAGTTCCCGCTGCAAGGTAATACTTCTACAGGAAAACAGGATGGAAGGATAGGAGGTCTGGAGGACAGGATGTCCAGAGGTCTGGAGTCCGGAGGACAGGAGGTCCGGAGGTATGGAGGACAGAACATCCGAAGGTACGGAGGGCGGAACATCCGAAGGTATGGAGGGCGGAACATCCGAAGGTACGGAGGGTGGAACATCTGAAGGACAGGATGCCCGGAGGTATGAGGGACAGGATGTCCAGAGGTACAGAGGACAGGAGGTCTGGAGGTCCAGAAGGAATAGGGGCTACATCAGACTTCGTCCAATGTAGAAGCAAACAGAGGTAGACTACCCTAAGGTAGAGTCGGAGGGACAGGAAGTGGACCTAAGTCCAGAAAGAGGGTAAGTGCTGGAAAGGCAAGACTCTAGCCTAGGGAAGCAATCCCTAGACTTGGGACAGAGACATAGGGGACAAATCCGGAGGTCTGGAATTCTGGCCTAGGGAAAGGATTCCCTAGGCCTTATGGAAAAGGATGAGACTCAGATGGACTGAAGTCCGGAAGATGATTGGCAAGTAGAACAGGATCTAAGATGATATTCAGACTAAGGACTCTACTGTAGTTGTACAGGGGTTATATACTAGAGGCTATCTGAGAGGATCAGTAAGCAAAGGAGTAAGGCTATGTACAAGCATGCAGAAACACATTGGTAAGTAAGACAGAACATAAGTAAATGAACTCGGAGATGAAACTAGTACAAGGATCAATCAGCAAGACAGAAACAGAGATAACCAAGAACCGGAAAGGCGGAGATGCCTAAATGGGGATAGGCACAGGATCTCAGATAGAGGGCGGGAATAGGTCCGGAGATAGTAACAGTTAATATCCGGAGGTCCGGAGATCTGGGGATCTGGAAGGCAGGGCAGAAACAGGACTGAGGTATGTGAGGTGGTGGATGTAGTCCAGAATCCAAGAGGAGGTAAAGTCCAGATGTCTTGCTGGACAGAATGTGCGTAGGGTGGACAGGATAGGGGATCCAGGAATGAGTTGGATATGGGGTCCGGAAACAGGTCCAGAAAGCGTGGGAATATGATGGGATCTATGTCTGGTATACGGGATATGACATTCCTGTTCATTTGCCTGCACTCTCTTTGCCTCCTGCAGGTGCTGTGCTAAAAAAATCTTGTGAATGCCATGTTATTGTAAGCATCAGCAATAGTGATGTCAGATTGGAAAAGGTTAATCATTGCCACAGCATCATAGTCATCCAAATCTGTCTCTTCTTGCACTTGAAGCATAGTGTGCTGCTTGTGGAATGGAACAGGTTCCACAATAGTATCATTAAGTACTGAGGTTGCAGAGGCTATACCACTGGCCACTTTATCACCCAACCCTTCCAAAGTGAGTGGCAGGGTGAGATGCTGTGATTTTGATGACCCTGCTGCACTCTTGGCTTTTGAAGAATGTGGAGGGCGGGACCTATGTCAATTGCTGTGGTCCCCATCAGCTTTACACTTCACTGTGGTTGATGAGCCAGGTGTGGAAATCAAGGGGGCAACAAAAGGCTGCTTTGCTGCATTGAAGCCTCATGGTGTGGCAGGTGAGATAGATGCAGGGACAGATGGGAGATCATTTGGTATTGGAGTGGTGTGCATGTCATCATCATTGAGATCACAGAACTCAACTTGATTGAGCACATTCTTCAGCAATGACATGACATCAGGAGAAGCATCAGTGGTAGTAGCGATATTGCTACCAGTTGCTGTGGGAGTTGACATGTTTGTAGTTAGGCTGGTGCTGGCATGGAAGCCAACCCAGCTCCTTGTATGTGTTGGAATGATGCCTTGCAGTGCCTCATAGTGTGCCCATCCTTTGTTTCTCAAAGGCTTCACTGAGGGGTTATGCTGCATGAATTATTAGTGTGATAGAGTAGGGGAGATAGATGAAAAAATACCTTAACAAAGTCCACCCACATAGTCTCAGATTCTGTGGTGATGTTTGCTCCTAATTCTGAGTGGAATGATGGACCAGAGGCATGGCTAGCAATTTTGTTGACCACCTGATACATCTTTTTGATCTAAATATACATTAATATCAGTAATGGCACATATATCAATGAAACAATACTCACCCAAGTCCATTTGGATTGGCAGGCTTCAGGTGTCTTGGAAGTGCCTTTGGGACATGGGTGTGTTGCCATCTCTGCAGCAGCACTAACCCAGAAAGATTTGGTGAAGTTCATACCATCACCCCCTTTGGTGTGGTGTTGAACAGCATATTCAACTAGCTTCTTTTCATCATCAAGAGACCATATGCAGCAGTCTCTAGCTGCTGTGGCAGTTTCCTGATTGTCATTGGCTTCCCTCTTTTTATCTTTTCCTTTGGTCATGGTTGGGTGGAAACAAAAAGAGTATTGCGATACTGATGAGCATCATGTTAAGGGCATGATTGTATTGATAAGAAGACATCACACCATGACCAGGGCACACTGGCATGCTTACTTGATCTTGTTTTTTATTTCTTGAAATTTGTTGAAGTTGGCCAAAATCATGATCCCAAACAGAGTCGTACTGATGTTACCCCTACTGATTTCAGTACTACTCCATTTCCTTGCCATGCAGGACCATCTCACAGACCAGAGACATTCCACTGGGCAAGTAGACCACATTCCTGTGGTGGACATCCACACAATACTGTGGTTTGTCCGAGTCATTCTTGCAGGTAAGGCACCCAAGAGCCTACAGACCCTAACAGTGGGGAGGTTGCCCATGAGCTACTGAGCACAGAAGTGCAGTCTCAAGCCATTTACTGGTTACACTTACCAAAAGCCTCATATCTCTCCCTTACTCCAATTGTCTTCTAATTCACACTTCGTTGAGAATTAAAAAAATGACTGTTCCATCACCTCCTGCACCAGTCTACTTTGTGAATCCTAATTCTTTTCAACATGATTATACAGCATGACTGGCAGAACTCACCATTAACTCCAGACCTATCATTCAGACCTTATTAATGATTGCTTATCTCTTCCTTACTCCAATTGTCTTCTAACTGAATCCAGCCTCTGCCACACCTCTTCCATCATGCTCATATCTCTCCTTTACTCTGATTGTCTTCTAACTGGATCCAGCCTCTGCCATGTTTCTTTCTTCTGCTTACTGTTATTAGCAACCACTCCCACCTCCCATGCCAGTCTACTTTGTGGATTCCAATTCTTTTTGATGTGATTATATAGTGTGACTGGCAGAGCTCACCATTAACTCCAGACCTATCATTCAGATCTTATCAATGATTGCTCAAGAGTATTCAAAATGGGTGAATTCAAGGATGCAGATGTACCTCTACCATAAGTACTCTGGTGTGACATGGAAACATGAAACCTGATCTTTCTGCCTTTGTGTGGAAAATAACATGTTCTCAAAGTCTTGCCAGATGGCAGCATCATCAGCTGTCTCCTGCCAATACTTAAGGTACACTGTGCGGATTTGATTGATGCCAACTTGGATTGTGTGCAGATTGTGCAATCAAATGCAGATCTTAATGAGATCACCCCACGAATCTTTGTTAGTTATCTTGAGTAGTACACACAATCTTGCAAAAGCACCTTGAAGACCACACATCCCCCATTCAGCAGTCTACTGGTAGGAGAGGACCTTACAATTGAACACCATGCATTCATCAATTTCAGCAACTGACCCTTGAAGGTGTTGGCCTTGTTTGAGGGGTGCACAGATCCAGCCTTGGATGTCATTGGTCCCATGTGGGAAGGCTGTATCAGCCATGATGTAGTAACCTGGGGGAGTGTGATCTCAAAGGGAGGCATAAATTTGGTGTGCAAGACATGCATCATGCCAGCTACCAGGGGCATTCATCCTTGCAGCAATAATCACCCCTGCAACATATAGTTAATATGAGTGAAGTGCAAATTCTGCATCAAACTCACCTTTAGCTGAGAACAGCAACACTGAGCTGATAAATGTTATGAGTTCAGATGGAGCATTGTTCCAATAAAGGAATCAAGGATCAAGGTCAATCAAGGACAAGGCCTTATCAAGTCAATGCCTCCCTCAGGAGCGATCATCTAGACTCCCACAGGATCTAGAGTTCAGATGGGATAATGGCTAGCCTCCTTCCCAAGGAGCTAGAGTTCAAGTATGAAAGAGAATTGAGTAGATTCAAGTTAGAGAAAATACAAGTAGTAACTAGGGTTTATGTACATAAGAGAATTGTGCACAGACCAAGCTGGGCTAAGGATAATGAATACTAGGAAAGGAAGGTTCATGGGAAAACAAAGTATAAGTCAGAGATAAGAAAGACCATGAGGAAACAACACAGTGAAAAGGAAGTGTTAGAAGTACAGCCATAAGGAATCCGCAGTGATGATGGGAAAAAGAGTAGGGGTACTCTAACAATAAAGTGCTCAGAGAGCCAATCATTAAATGTGGCATTCTTGATATCAACATCATCAGATGTTTGCACAGGTAACTTAAGACCATTGATGCTGCTGAACACCCCTCCAAGTCTCCCATGACACACAACAACAAGTGCACTACAGTGTTTAAATTCTGGGCCCTTGAGCCATCAAATTTTGGCATCTCATATGGTGTGGAGGGTGAGCAGGGGAAGCTGAAGACCAAATTCAAGGTAGTGAGTGACAGTACTGGGGATAATAGCAAATATCTGCTGTAGGCTGATAGCATGCATAGTGGAGCTGAGATAATGCAACACAAGTCTGAGTGCCCCTGCAGCATCAAGCAAGCACCACTCAATGCATGTATTTTCACACATATTCACATCATTACAAGGGATTGGTGTTCCATACCAGCATTGGGCAAAACCTGTGGTAAGGAGTGAGGTGAAGGTAGTTACATTAATACCCACTGTGGTGATAAAGGCTCAATCATTCTGACTATTGTATAATGCCTGCCAAGGGGTGTTAATGTGAGAATGGGAAAGAAGCTGGGGTTGGCAAAGATATAAACAGTGGGGGTTCTGGGTGTCAATGCACTCTTGTTGGGATACCTCAATCCCACTAATGAGGGCTGCAGCTAGTTCCTGAGCTCCTTCATCATCATCAAAAAGTTCTGCCTCATCATCATTGAGAAGCAGGTAGTGGATTGCAAGATTGTCCATCAAGGATTGGACTAAATCTAAAGACTGAGCATACAGGGGATTATTTTTGCATAGATTAAATTGATGACAGTATTGCAAATGTATTTCAGGCTCTAAAATAATCTATTCTGGATTATTTTGCCTATGGGAAGTCATCCACTTATCGGTATATGAAGATAGCTGTAACCACATTTCTGAATGCAGACCAGAGCAGATTAATGTTCTGATTTGCACTCTTTTGTGGTATGTTATGTGAATTGCTTCTGCAGGATCAAATGTTCTGTCCTTACATATATTTTATTTTACCTGTCATGGCACTCTTCTACATATTAGGGTAATTGATCTTTCAAATTAAAGCTCTGGAAGTTCCTTTAGGTCCCTCCAAGCACATCGGGGTTATTGATATTTAGGAGATGCTTTTATGTTGTGCCAAATGTGAAGAAAATATTTGAAATTTAGCTTGACATAAAGATGGAGACATAACTTCAAATTTTGGCAGTGTTTTAAATGAAATACAAAATTTCAAGCATTGGCAACCATACTCCCACCAACCATATGTCAATAACAATAAGAAATTTAATTGGAATTTCCACATGTGCTCAAATTTGAAGTTCAATTCTGGCCCAAAATGTTGGACAAAACATGAAATTTGGGACATGACTATACATATGCCTCCTTATGTATGAAGTTTTGTCTGACAATTAAGATGCCCTGAAAATTTGAAGTTTATGCTGGTGACAAAATGTGATGACAAAACTTGAAGTTTTGTCCACAAACAAAATAGATCGCCTGATCATCGCCCACCTGCTGCCCACCCATCACTCAATCATATCCTGTTCACCACCTGAACTTGTTACCTTGTATGTTATTATTAGTATCATGAATACCTATATGTACTTGTACTGTAGCACCACAAGGCAACAGGCTCATATCACCATGCCAATCAAGAGTATATATACTCTGGCTCTGTCTGCTGTGAGTGGGTCATCCTCTCATTGCAATAGACAACCCTCAGGGACAAATGTCAATGTCTGGTTGCACCAACAGACATAATGGTCATGTTGTTCAAGCCAGGGAGTAGCGGCATGGCATGACAGTATGTACCATTGTGTCTATGTATATCAAGACTGATGTTATATTCTGGCTCTGTCTGCTGGAAATAATTGAAATGACAGACTTGTAATGTTGTTAGTGAGCATGGTCGTCATGCAAACTGCAGTCTTCCTTTCCAGTGCAGAGGGATGAAACCTTGCAATGCAAATGCAAATGCGAGTGTAGCACATTTTCATGACTATGCTAATACATACATACACAATACAACAGTACAAACCATGACTTGGTCCAAACCAGATGATCTTGTCAGTATGAATGAGGAAGTTTGGTTAAATGACTCTTACCACCAATCACAAGATAGGGACAGAATCACTGTATGACAGCCAGAAACTGCCCAGTGTGCAAAGTGGCTAACTACCCAGGACACCTTGACTTTTTCAAGATGAGTCTGAAAGTTCATCAAGTACAATTTGGCCAGAAAATCAGGATACATTGAGAAAGGGTCAATAGTATGGTTATGGGAGTCCAGCAGGAGATGTCACTGTACAGCAAACAACATTTCTCCTGTCAGCATATTATAGATATATTTAATACTAGTGGGAACGGGGGTTAATGATCTATCTCCATTGGGATAGAAAAGAATCTGGCTGTTCCCTACATGTGTAGATGCCCTACTGTAAATAATACCATCAAACTTCAGTGAAGCACATAATATTGCTGTTGGTTGTCTGATGAGGGTATATAAATCCTCAGGCACCATACTGGTCATTGCCAAGTCAGGCACCTGGACAACACCATCCATTGGATCTTGGCTTGGATCTGTAGCACCATTTGGGGCATATGCTCTATCAAACAGGATCCTGCACTCCTGGATGGCAGGCAGACAGTCTGGTCAAGTGAGCCAATGATGAAACCTGGTAGCCTTGATATATGAACACAGCATTGTATTCTCAAGCTCCCCTGACAAAATATTAGCCTACCCTGCTCATTCCATATCCTGATAAAGACCAACCAAATTTGTGATTTACAGGAAGGCATTGGAGTATGCCAATCAGATGCTTGAAATGGAAACACCACTATGAGTAGGTGGGTCCAAATAAGAGTAAATAGTCATATAAGTGGAACAATGCATGGTGATTTGGGTGGAGAGAGAAGGTAGGATGGATTTCCTTCAACTTTCCGACATAAGCAGAGATACATGAGCAGTAGGCATTTGCTCTTCTTGCAGTCATTGTTTGTGCACATGCAAGATACACCATGCACACAAGTTCCATAGTGTGATCAAGAACAGTTCTGAGATGGACAGAGAGTTATCAGAAGAATGTGAGGTACCAGCTCCCCACAAGCTCACAAGGGCAATGGGAAGATAGACCATAATAAGCAACCACCACTCATCAGCTTTAAGTGTCCCAGCAGATGCCTCTCCAAAATTACTTGGGACTGAACCAAGCCAAGTGGGGACAGATGTATCTTGGATGATGTCACAAATACATTAAAGTACTTCTGCTGTCCCAAACTGAGGTTCTTGTTGTGGAGCAGTTAAAGGTTTTCCATAATGCTGTAAATATGCATTAAGAAACTTAGGACAGTAAACACAATGACAATGAACTTACTCACTTGAGAAGAGCATTGACATAATCTATCTTGAACATTCTACCAGCTTTCCCTGGCATACAACCTAAGGTATTGCAGATGAATTTCAATGGTCCCATATTCTTGTGGAAAAGTGAGTTTTTCAGCTTGTTAAAACAAGCCTCTTCATCAGAAATAGTCATCTGGGAAACAAGGAGGGCCTAGATCGCAGATATCTGTGTCATTTCCTTTGTCATCATTGTCCCAGGAGGTACTTTGCCAAAGTCATGCAAAAATGTGAGAATGGCAGAAGCTGATGTGGTTGACCCTGAAGTCAAACCAAGCAGATTACAAGTGTGGTAAAGAACCAAACCTTCCAATAGGCAGTGCATTAGATTAACAACAAGTTGTCAGGAGGGGTCCCAGTATGGTAGATGCCAGAGCTCAGAATAGCACACACCATGAGCCTTGAACAGTGTTTCATGTTCAGTGGACATGGCAGTGTCTCTCCACTGCTCAGCATATGCTCAGAGTTTGTCTCTATTGTGAGGTTTCCAATTCTTAAAGTCTACTCTTCCATAAGTAGATCTGTGATAGCAATCACATGCACTGCAGTAGAAATAACTACTGACTCCAGCCAGAGAAGCAATATGTCAAGCAGCAGGAAGGTCGCAAACAACCAGAGCAATGGCACTTTGAGTAGTGTGGCCATCAGGGTAACAAGCAGTTTTGGAGAATTTGATACTGTGCACCCATGCATCTACTAAATAATTAATGAGGGGTCAGATGTAGTGATTAAGATTTTCCATTGATGGCTGCTTTGGACCTGGGATAATACCTGCAAGATACATATTCTCCAGCTTGTATCTGATATCCAATGGTAGACTCAAGCACACCATGGAGATGATTCTGCAGGATGTGCTAGCTCTGCACACATTCAACCCTTCTGGATTGAAGAAGTCCACATGAAGGGTGAAAGCATAGTGTTCTTTCTCTCTTCTATCAACAAAAAGCAAGCCTGGCTCTGGGCCACCAAACTGACAGAGGAATTGAGATTCAAATGGATTTTTAATAAAGGGCGGATGAGGAGAGTCAATAGAGTCCATGAGATCATCACATGCCTGATCCATCACAGCCTCAATATCTCTATGCGAGAGGAGACCAGCAAGATAATCTTTGAAGTCGTGGTACAAGAAAGTTTTCCTGGGACAGGATTCTCTGTCAGCACTGACAAGTAAATCCTTGCCACATTCAGTCCTGGGAGTAGGACAATGTGTGCAATGCTTATGGTATGATGGGGTGGTTGAACCTGGTGCAAAAATTGGTGTGTATGTGCAATGGCAGCTACATATGGCATACAGGATGGTGTTGCCAGTCAGGTGGAATTTTGCCTCTGCACTTTCTGATGTTATTGGGATCTGCTTAAGGATGTTTTCATGGGAGGAGCTAAGACTACTGTCTGACATCTGAAATGCAAGGAACAGTACAATATTAATAATCTTCATGATCAAATCGCAGCTACTCCTGCTCACTCCCATGATGACCCTGCATGTGACACACAGGAATAGAATGACTTGGCTGATTTCATCTGAGCGATCCACTAGAGCTTGCTGAAGGGTGTCTGCTGAATGATAACCAAAGAACCATGATCCACATGCTCATTGCTTACCAGTATTAATCTCAATGGATACTAATACATCATTGGACAGCTTATGCCTGCTGAACTGGGCCACCAAGTTATTAATCTGTGTGATGTTTGCCTGCTTTCATGTGATTACAACATCTGCCTGCCGACTGACATTCTCCATAGCTTTGTGAAGCAAAGATAGCTCATGACCAATGTCATTAAGATTACTAGAACCTAATAGTAAGTGAGAGCACTGCTGAATCTGGGACTTGATGTTGCAAAGGACATCCAATGCCTTCATGGTGCACTGTGAGCATTTCTTCTTGGATACTTTCTCACCAGCACCCTTGTAGCTTGTCTTCAATGGTGGTGACAATGTCAACCACTCAAGGTCATCTGCTAGAACACAGACAGGGGAAAGAGTAATGTTATTGCTGGCAATGGTACATGCAGGAAGATTGGAGGTGACAACAGTGAGCTCTGCATGCTCTGCCTTTACATGCAGGATATGAGCAGCAATTAAGCATTCTGCTATCAGTATTCCTTTTGGTGTGCCTGTTTTGTCACATCCACCTTTGTCAATACACTCCTCACACATGCATTATTTGAGCAATGGATGAGACACTGGGCATGTCTTGGTGAATGATGCCAACAATGGTATGTACCATCATTGTCTATGGGTGATGGTCCAAGTAAGGCTAGCAGAGTGAAGACAGCTGGGAGGACCATTTAAATATGATAAAACAACAAGGGTAATGTGGGACGACTCTCAACAATAGTAGACTTTACTAGGAAAGTAAGGTGACAAAAAGTAAGTCTAGCAGAGTGAAGACCAGTTGGGATGACCATTTAAATATGATAAAACAACAAGGGCAAAGTAGGGCAGCTCACAACAAGTAAACTTTACTAGGAAAACAAGGCAACAAAGTACAATGGCACCAATAACCAAATGTGGATGATTTTGAGAGCCCACACAAGAACAGAAAAAAGGCCTGATTGAAGTTGGAGGCAACAAAGGGATGACATGACACAACAGTACATACTGTCATGCCAGAGACTGGACACTACATCAGGGTGATAGAAAGTAATTCAAAGGTAAAGGTAAACTTATATCAAGGTAAGAAATTGATCCCCATTTCATTTGGATGAAGTTGGTAAGGGCATGTCATGCTAGGGGAGATGGTAGATGTGAACACAACAGTATGAACCATTGTGCCAGGACCTGGAGGAGAGAAGGATCTAGAGGGGAGATAGATGTGAGTGTGACAGTACAAACTGTCACACCGGGGAGATGTGTAAGGTAAGAACAGAATACTTAATCAGGTAAGACAACATACTCAGAAATAAAGCCAAATAAAGTCAAACAAAACATTCATGACCTAACCTTGATTTTAAGCTTCAAATCTCAAGTCTCTACTAAGCTCAGTAGTATGTACTGCTGAGTCTTAGCTCCCCTCTTGTCTTCACTCATTGTACCACCCAGTGGTCTGTACTGCTAGGAGGTGTGCCAGCAACTCCAATTCAATGTGGCATAGGTCATTCCTTGGGCACCCTATTGTCTTGCATGTTGGCCCACCCAATATGCCATTTCATCCATGAGGGGATTTTTATTGTCATCCCTCCACATTTCCATGGAGGGGTTTACAACATCAAGCAATCTGCAATATTTATACAATGAGAACCTGCTTCCTCGAATCATTGTGTCCTCTTCAAATTCCTCTGATGCTATCCTGTCCTGGCTGCACTGCCTGATGAAAGACCCTTTTAGCTTCAGCAGCGATGTTGTCATGTTCTGTTGCATAATGAAGATTCATGTCTACATCTCTTTTAACTTCTTGAATGACTTCCATGAGCTTTCCTGCTAGTTCATGCAACATCAAGATGTCACTTTTTTTGTGCATGCATTCCTCTTGGATATCTGGTACTTCCTGAAATACCTTCACACTTTGGTGAAGGTTGTTAGCCAAAAAGGTGAACACATGGGCTGGTCTCATTTGCTCTGCAAGGTCTATAGACCATGTCACCATTGTGTCCTGCAGGTATGTCAGTCAATTGTTGCTGAGTTAACAAGTGACTCACAAAGTAGTTTTTTATTAGAAAAGAGATGGTGACCACTAGGGCACTTAAATGAACCAGGAGTGTTAACATGCACTTCAGCATATGCAACAGCAACAGGAATATTCTGAGGTAAGAGACTCCTTTCTTACACCATAATTATGGACCCATAAGTTGATTGTAGCTTTACTGCAGCCTAGCACTGGTGATGCACTTGCAACTGTACAGCGCCCATTAAGATCACAAGTCTGGGAAGATGATCAATACCTCATCCTCTGTGCAAAAATTCAATACCTACAGTGATGGTCTGCACCAGGCCAGTATCAGAGTGGTAAAGAGTGTCAAGTAACTGGCCTAATTTCCTCTTGAATACATATACCAATCCATTGTTGCTTCCTCCCACAACTAATCTTCCTTCTGCCCCAAATGCCACCTGCTTGGGCACTGACACACTTGGAGCAGCAGTCACAAATGTCTGAACTGGCTCCTTATCGCCATCAAGTTGATACAGCATAAAACCATCAGCTGCATTGTCCACCATGAACATGCCCCTCTTCTAGTTGACTGCTGCATGACCACTGAAAAAATGTTAGTAATTTGTATATCAGCGGTGAGCTGTGGACTGACATTACCAATTTACAGCTATACTCCTTCACCACTGCACCATCATCACCATTCAACTTGATAAAGTTACCATCATACAGTCCAAAGGCATAGACACCTCAGTCATCTGCAAATGCTACAGATTTGGATACCATGTTGTTGAGTTGTATTGAAATACAGCCTGCAGTTGCAAATTTGCATTAAGAACAAGGACATGGACTATTTTGTCCCTTGTTCTGACTGCAACCTGCACACTTGCTTCTGGGAACATCAAATCCCATGACATGCAAGTAATTTCAAATCCCAATCCGAGTCTCCTAGCACAAGTCTCCTGAAACTGCATCTGTTGGATGTCAGGCGAAGGCTCAATGACAAACCACAACATCTATGGGGCTACATTGCAAAAATACAATGTAACCCAGCCCCATTCCATAACAAAGTGTTTCCGCTATGCCCAGTCTTGTGGTGATCAAAACAGTGCAGCTGACTGTTCCCCATGACTCATGGTTAAGAGTTGAACATGTGAGTTCTTTTTGAGATTTGGTATCCCAGAGTTTGATGCCCTCAGTGCCTACTTGCTTGTTAGCACCCTGCCATAATTAGAGTGCATGTAATCTACTGCCACATGCAAGAGCTTGGCCATCATTAGATATTGCAAGCGCATGGATGGAACTGTTGTAGGTAGAGAGGCAAGCTCAATATTGGAAGCGTTGCATTGATTTTGTGAAGGGTAACCAGGACCAGGCCAAGAAAGACATTGTTGCACATAATCTTATCAGTTGTAGTTGCCAGTTTGTCAGCTCACCAGCCTATTTATATTAGGTTCCTATTTGTTCTAGCAAACTTGTTGTTCATGAATCAATGACAATTATATCGTGTATTCACTCTTTCATGAGCGATCTCAGGCCAATCTTATATTATAATCCATTGTACTTTCTATACTTGTCTTTTTTGTAGTTGCTTTCCTGGACAAAGTGTTTGTTGATCTGTAACTGCTTATTGTTTTAACCCAATATGGTAGGCCATTGAAGTGGTGCCATACTCATAAATCTCACTAGAAGGTTGTCTTTATTTGTACCTGCTCACATTGCCAGCCCCATCCTGCTCAGCCCCATCATGCATAACACAGTGAAAGCTGCTTGTCCTTTTTACAATCAAGAGCCTGGTGCTCCACTGCCATTCCCTCCCATGCTTACAGACCAGCTTGAACCTCAACTATGCTCATTGCCAACGAGATTCTTTATCCTAAGGCTTCTCATATGCAGCCCAACCAACTAATGGACATGCCCAAGTTCAACCTTGGATCATGGCTGTCCAAGAATACTGACAATTTTTCCTTGTCATACTTGAAGAGAGTTTCATCCAAGTGTTCTTGTTCACATACACCCATGCTCTTGGATTCTTCTGACTCCATCGATTCAGTGTCAGACAGTGGCTCATCTACTTTGACTGCAAATCTATCAGAAGACTCGAAGATACCCAAGCCCCCTGGTGAACCTGGTTGTCCAGGGCATGGAGGATACATGCTCCATGAGACTTTAAACTGGAGTCCAAAGGCATACATGAAGTTTAAGGTTAGTGACATGTTCTCACTGTGGTATCTGTTTTCTCAATCAACACCTCAAGAAATTTATGCACCACCTCATTGAGGAGCATCTCGATGCCATGAAGTGTGCCTCTTCTTAAAGCCCTGTACTCCTGAAATATGTGCACAACAAAGTCAGTAGACCTTCGATGATGATTGTCCACATTCTCATGATGCATTAGGCTGTTGATGCATTCCCTGACCTAGACAACTACAGCAGTTTCTGGCTGGTGAATGATATGATCATGATGTGCCTGAAATACAAATCAGGACGTCCTAGGCAGAAGGAAGCAAGGATGGCTTTGGGCAAGAGTAAGAGGAAGAAACATATATCACTTGTGAGCTCTATACTATTGCAAAGGTCAGTGCTAATGCTAATCTACAGTCCACTTGATTCATCCTATACCCGATGTCCTATACCAAATTATTTTACTCAAAATTACATGCATTACATCATCGTGTCTACCCAAAGCATGCAAACAACCTAAATTACTCTGTGCATAATTATATTTATTGGAACTGAGCAAACATAAGGCATGTTGAGCAAAAATAGAGGGAGAATGAACTTCACTGATAGCTGTAGAATTGCCTGGGATGCAAGTAGAAGGACCTGGACCAGAGTTATGACTCAGCAGTACATACCACTGAGTGCTGGAAATCTGATAAAGGAGATAGAGGCCTAAGCGAGAGGTCACCATAGCACAGGATGTGGGTAGAAATGCCTGGACGAGTGTCACAACTCAGCAGTACATACTGTTGAGTCTTGCAGATCAGAACAGATCAGAACAGATACTTTGACTCCTGACAGAAACAGAAAGTTGAGTCAGGTGTTTACAAATGTTTGTCACCTGAGTCTAGACACTGATCTGAATCGGGCATAATTATCAAAGTCATCACCCATCGTCACATGTTTCCAACTTCCAAGTATGTCAGATCTCAACTTTACACATCTTCCTGGGTGCAATGGTTTGTACTGTTGCACTTGCATTTTACATCTGAATCTTTCATCCCAGGTCCTTCTCACCCTTACTGACTTTGACTGGTTGTGTTTAACTTCATCCAAATGAAATGTAGTTCAATTTCTTACCTTTATGTAAGTTTAAGTTTACATTTTGTTTACCTTCAACCTTTCCTCACTCATCCTGGTGGCATTTAGTGATCATCAGAATGGCTGTTATGCCCCCCCTCCTTTTACCAGATTTGACCTTGTTATTCCAATCCCATGAGCCCACCAATCATCAATCAATCATCCCTGGCATGACAGTATGTACCATTGTGTCATCCTGTCCTTTCATTCCCTGCCCCCACCTCCAACTTCAATCAGTCCTTTATTCCATTCAAGATATTATGTTCAAGACTACATCCTTTGGAGCATTATTCATATGAGCTATGGGCTATACACTACACTACTGCAACTTGTATCCATTTAAATCTTTTGTCCAAGATCAATAACTTCTCGACTTGACATTTGGTCAGACCAATGAGCTACTCTTCCTTATATAAGGCCTTGGGTCATCCATTGACTTGTGCCCTGGAAGTCACTGGATTCCCTGCTGTGCATATCCTTTTCATTGGTTTTGAACTTTGGGGGGCAAATATGTCATCATCCACAAGCCTCTGGTGATCAATGATATCCAATTCATGTTCTATCACATGGCGCCACACCATATTCTTGATGCAAAGGATTGTTTTGATATCATTTTCCAAATCACTCTCCTCTGAAGTCATGCCACAGTCTCCTAGTGTTTTGACTAGTTGCTGAAGCCACTGCCAGGCTATGAGATCCTCTTCTTTGTCATCTGTCTTCTGCTTGATGAGATGGTTAAGAACTGTTACTTTACAGAGATATTTCTGAGAAAGTATCAGTATTAGAACTGTCTGGATAATGCAAGGCATACATTGTTGCAACATGTTGTTTGACAAGTCACCTTCAATGTTTCGTCCTTCTTTGCAATTAACCTCACCTCCACCTCTGCAAGAGTCTCCAGTGCACCCTTTGCCATGACCTTAGGCTGTGCAGCCCTCCAGGCTGTATGCAGGTGCCTGTAATGATCTTGAATGATTTCCCTGAGACATGCCTCTGACCTGCAGAATGGCCACCCATCCACATTGCCCCTTCTCTTCAATTCTCCAAGGAGCAAATCAATTATTTTGCTATATCAAGGAGTTTGGGACCTGTTCTTGGGATCAAACGTGAGGTTTTTCACATCAGGACCTTGGCCATCTTCATATGAATATGAATATATATCCTCCCAACTAGGTGTCTCATGGGCTATGAAATCAGCATCTTGAGAAATGTTGAACACATCCTTGAAGAGATGCCACACTTCTCCCTGCTTCACTGTAAGTGTGGGAGCTTCTATATGATGTTTGGCCTACCAGAACAAAGTCTCTTTCATAGCTTGATTCACCTGCATTCTCTCATCAGACTTCTTCTTCCTCCATCTTCCTCCTCCAGGGACTGTGCTTTTTGATGCCCAGAGATTCTTTGTTGACCAGAACACACCTCAGTGCAGCCTCCACACCTCTGGCGACTGCTTCCTCCATGCTGATGCTAGCACAAGATGATGGATTGTGCTGCTCCTTTGGTAGTAGATCTTGTTCGGATGATTGTTCACAAAGGACTTCATCAGTGTCCACCTACTATTGTCAAAGTTTACATCATAGCCAACAGCATCAAACCCTTACCTCTGCCACTACTGATACAAGTTGAGTCCTGTGCAATACTCTGTGCATTCTCTTTATCCTTTTAATTGCATCAAGGCATGGGGTGCCTAACAACAGTTTTGCGGATGGTGTAGATGGTTGTCCTGTGTCCCTCCACAGAGGGAGGTTACTATTCATTTCTATATCATCGCCCTGTACCCCATGACACCTGGCAAACTGTTGTTCCATCCTAGCAAGTTTGCTCTCTTTCTCCATCTAGAAGTGCATTTAAATTGATGTCAGCAGATTGTCCATGAGCTTATGAAACAAGATTCTCACTTTCAACTTCTCAACTTTGTGCTGTAGCCTCCTTTCCATCTCAGTGAAAATAGCATTCTCATGTTCTTGACACTGCCTTTATCGTCATGAACTGACTTGTTTTCCTGTCAGGCTGTTCAGCTCACCTCTTCATCTTTCTTTCTCCTTAACTCTTCCTCATGTCTGGTCAGTTCTTTACCCAGCTCTGCTTCTTGCTGCCTCAATTCTTGTGTGAATCACTGGCAAGTTTCCTCCAGGATTTTATGCATGCTAGCATCTATTGCCTTGCAATTTGTTTGACTGAGTGCTTCACAACTTCCTCTAATATGATCTTCAAGTTGCTTCTGCTGCTGGGCATAGTTCTCTTGCTGCCAAGTGTGGTTCTCCTGTCATGATATCAATGTGCATCATCTGTTGGATGCTGCAAAGGAATCACCTCAAGTTCTTTGCGGACCTTTTTGAGTTGCTCTTCCTGCTCTCTCAGAGCTGCCTCCCACCACTTTTTGGTATTGTCTTGCTATGGCCACTAGTCACATATTGGTAATTTCTACAAACCATCTCCATCTCATGCCTCATAGTGTTGATCCACTCCTCTTGACTGTACACAGTTTTGCACAGTGTTTCTGAATAGTCGACTTCTTTAATGCAATGCTTGTCAGATGCCTGTATAGACACTGAGCCAGTTATTAACCTCTCTATACCTAGATGTACCTGGTCAACAACTTGCTTTTCTTGTAGTACGTGTGGCCTTTCCCTCTTGTCAATAAGAATCTTACTTGTGGTGGACTGGCTCATGACATCATCCAAGGTCTCTTCAAAGTCCATCTGGTTCTCACTTGATCCAATTGGAGGTACCATATTGACAGACATATTAGGAGGTTGACTTGTGTCATCTTCCATGACATCATCAAATAAGCCTGTATCATTGGATGTTTGGACATCTTCCAGAACATAGTGCATTCATACTGACATGGCAATGGGAATAGTGATTTAGGTTTGGACGTAGATATCTCATACTTTATGTGCAGCCTTGGATCATGCTTTTTGGTCACTTTGATCACTTAGTCAGAATGATCCTGGCTTTTCAGGTTGTTGTCAAACAAAATATTAAGAGTTGACTTTGAATAAATTTAAGTTCAAAAGTCACAAGTCAACATTTACTTATTGTTTATTGTCCTAGTTAATCTCCTGGTTAATCTGGTTAATCAAGTAAAAACAATAACTATTGTATGTGGGCTCAGTTCAAAGGTGAACTGCTATAAGACCCCATTTTCATCACCCACTCTCATTGCCCACTTTCATCACCTATTCCCCTCACTTAGCACTGGTTGCCTGAAGTTAATCTTTATTTTTTGACATTCCTTTGTTGCCATGGTCAACACTCACAGGTACAGTGGCTCAAAAAACTGTCTGCATGTTTTGACATTTTTCACTATCTATGATATTGTGTGAGAACTCACAAATGCCTCAAGGACATGGTTATACCACATTGTAGTATGGCTTCAGGGCTTTCATGTGAGCCCTACACCGTGGGAATTGGTGGAGATATGGTGGAGATACAAGGCGTACAAAATGGTGACTCATGCAGACAGTTTTTTGACTCAAGTATTTTACAATAATAACCAGGTATTCTAGTATTTTGTATGACCTCCCTTGGCTTTAATTACTGTCTCTATCCTTCTAGGCATACTCTCAATTAATTTCTGGCAATCCTCAGCTGTGATCTTCCCCCATTCCACTGCTACTCTCTCCCAAAGCTCTCATACTCCTTTAGGGGGGTTTTCATAGGCTTGAAGCTTTTTCTTGAGTGTTCCCCAGAGATGTTCAATGACATTGACATCAGGAGACTGTGCTGGCCAGTCAAGAACATTGATGTTATGTTCTTCAAACCATTCCTTAGCTCTTCTGGATGTGTGCTTGGGATCATTATCCTGTTGGAAAATGATATCTTCTTCATCAATCCCTGATTCTGCCAAGCTAGGCAGCAAGTGGTCATTTAAAATGTCCACATACTGCTCAGCATTCATCTTCCCCTCAACCTCAGCAAGCATTCCCACACCATTCCATCCCATACAGCCCCATACCATTAAAGAACCTCCTCCAAACATGACAGTCCCATTAACCTCTCTGTCTGTTAGGCCATCTCCCTTTTTTTTCCATACATATACCTTCCCATCTGACCCAATCCTATTGATTTTGGTCTCATCTGACCATATAACATGCTTCCAGTCCTCTACAGTCCAGTGTTGATGAGCTAAGGCAAAGGCTAGTCTTCTCTGCCTATGTTTGATGGAGAGAAGAGGCTTTTTCTTCTTTGTTACTGCCTTGAGATGAGCTGCCTTGAGAACATTCCTCACAGTTTGTGAAGAGACAGGGGTAATGATGGTGGAATTGATATAATGGGTGGCTTGGACAGCATTATCAGCCTTTCCTGTAGTGATATGTTGGATAATAGCCCTTTTGTCAGTAGAGGTAAGCTTGGATGGATGTCCTCCACAAGAGTTTTCCTTGTCTGGGTGGCTTTCTTTGATAAACTTGGCCACAGTGGACTTGCATACTCCAGTTCTAGAGGAAATTTGGCAAGCAGAGAGGCCAGCATAAGACAGAGAAAGGATATTATCTCTTTGAGCAGAGGAGATGGCTTTCATGGTGATTATGACTATGATACATGAGATATTCTGGTTTATATAGTTAGATATAGTCATAAAATAACATAATGACACCACTTCATAATTTATATAATAGTGGCATGATTTTTGTGGTGTCATAAATAATGATTTATATAGTTTTAATATACACTCAAAAAACTGTCCACATGAGTCATCATTTTATAAGCCTTATGTCTCCACCATATCTCCACCGATTCCCACGGTGTAGGGCTCAAATGAAAGCCCTGAAGCCATACTACAATGTGGTATAACCATGTCCTTGAGCCATTTGTTCATTCTCACACAATATCATAGATAGTGAAAAATGTCAAAACATGTGGACAGTTTTTTGAGCCACTGTACATGCAAGCCTCATTCAGCTAATCTCTGACATTGTATAATGTACTGAGATTTGATAATTGATCAATTGTGAGGTTTAGTGTAGCCCTTCATTGACATTGAACTGACACATCAGGAATGCAACAATCTTTGCCATCAACACATGTCAGATGTTGACAAGGGTAATCTTCATTGATATATGAAGGGCGAGTGTGCCACAAAGATCATTCGAAGGTTCCATGTACAGAACAGTGAAATTTCAGCTACAAGTTGCAACATTGTGACCTTCCCTGCTGGAGGATCTGAGACATTACACCAGCTATACTTGACTCTACATGCCATGAAAATATATCAGCAAGAATTGTTTACATTGTGTGATCTGCTGATTGACGCAAGTGACCGTGGATTACTGCATATGTAGACAACTCATGATGCATGTGTGTTGGTGACTGGTGCAGCCAAGTGCTGTAACAAGCCAAGGTATAGTTATATACTACAAGTGATGACATGCTATTGTCAAATGAATGAAATGATAAATGTTCAGTAGCGGACACTGATGCTTGTGAGTTGTTCATGTGTCAGTGGCCAATCATATCACACATGATACATGTTGTCCAAGCGACAGCTGTTGACCCAATCTGGTGCTGGAATTGCCTGCTTCAACACCTTGCACTGCCAGCAATGATACTTCATTTTCATTTGCAACCACTTGTTTCCATACAATTTCCATCCACATGCATTGAACTTGATGTTTTGAGATGGGCCACTGCAGTGTTTGCAGCAATACATGTCCAGGCCCCATGGATGAAAATCGGCGAAACTGGAGTATGCTAACATGCATGAAACTGTGACTTGCTCATATGAGTCACCATTGGATCACATGTCGGTGAAACACAAGACAACAGGCGATGCCTCAAGAGCATGATGATCCTCCCCAAATGATCGCTCCAGCGCCTCCCATGGCTTCATGTCAAATATGTAAATGTTCTTGATGAACCGAGATGACACAGGAATAACCATTGAGTCAATGGTGGAGACACTGCTGAAACAAAAAATGAAGTTAAATATCTTGCTGCAAGGAGAGTTTTATTAGAAAAATGGGGCAAGAAGGAAAGATTGTGCTGACTACTCCACCATCTTCTTCAGCAGAGTAACACTGTTGCTAATCTGACCTGTGGGACCACAGCTGCAAAGCACCAGTCCATGCATGAATGGCTTGTCACCATGAGAGGTATTAATAGTTCGAATGACCTGTGATGCTCTCTGAAAGTGATCCCCAATGTAGTTCTCAAGCATCTTGAGACATCCAAATGTATACATCAGCATGTGAATCTGTCACCTGGAAGATCATAGTACCTCCCATGGTGTAATGGACACAGAGTTGTTTGTCCCTCCCAATGCAACTAAGTTCCCCATGCTCATGTCTGTGTATGTGTTGATAAACACCAAAATATTACAGTGATTATTCTGGTCTGTCACCCATCTGAAATCATCTGCAACAGCATCAGGCCAATTATTGTTTGCCCAAATTTTCTGGGACATAACACAAAGCTATTTTTAACTTGGTGAGCTGATGAAAATGTTAGGATGTATCTCTTGCCTTCTTTGGCTCAATATGGAATTGCTCAAGAAGCATTTGTATAATACTATCAGCCATGAATTGTCAACCAAACCCATTCCAGGTCAGGAACACACCCAGAAACAGGGCAGGATTGTGCATCAGGAACCTTGATTGGATTGTGTAGCAATGAACCATGTACTACATGAACAAGGTATACACAGAAGGTCTTGGCCATACAAGATGAGTCAGACTCACTGGAATTGCCATGTCCTTTGATCGATAGCATTGTGGACACATGAATGTGTCCTTCGTCATGAGGGGACTTCTAGTCAATGGGTTGTGAGTCGCATCCACGCATCCATGTTTGAATTCAGTGGTTGCAACACAAATCATGATGTCACAGGGCATTTCGAGTCCTATGCATGCCCAGATGTGTGAGCCCACATCTGTGCAATATACACAATGCTATGCACATTGTCAGTGAATTATCATGCAAATAATGGAAGATACTAACCAGGACATCAACACATGATAGATTGCTCACAGTAGCAGCAATACAACCTGATTCTTCCATCTCCATGTCCTGGACTTGATCAGTGATAATGGGTATCAGCTTCTGGTATGGTGCATGGAACACCTTGCACTTCAGTTTTGGTGGTTTTGCAGGTTTTTGGCTTACAGGCCTGAGAGCATGTGATGCTGAACTTTTAATAATATGCATGGATCACTGCTGAGAGGTGTTCTGGCACTTATCAGTTGTATGACTGTCTTCATTGCCATTTGAGACATTGTCATGATCACTTGTGTGCTTTTAACATGCTGTGCAGTGGTGAGCTCTGGGAATGATTAATACAAATTCACATACATCAGGTGGCTGACTTTCATCCTCCATCTGATCTCCTCCATCACTACCACTGGGGCCCTGGACGATAGAATGATTATGGAATCACTGATGATCCCTGACATGGATGTGATGACATACCACTGACCTCCAGCTATCACCCAAATCCATGTCACTAGTGCCTGGGTTGTCAGAATCATCTAAGTCAGTGTTCTAATAGAGGGGCATCTTGCATTACAGGTGAGTTTCGACAGCACATTGTGTAAGTATGTTTGTATACGCACCACCAGCTTGCAATTTTAAATGTGACTGTGTCACTCTTCACTTACTACCACGTTAAGATGGATTATCTTTAAACCTTATCCACAGTGGGTGTCACTGCACCCAAGGCCATTTCCCACCCTTCTGGCAACCTCCTGCTCATGTGGCCCAAGAGGTCTCAGCCACATCTTCATGATTTCCTACAACTGAACCTAAATCAAGACATTTTTAGTCCCTTTGCAGACTTTGGCATCCTGTGTTGGTTGACAGTTGGCTGCAGGACTTTTGCATGCTTGGCAAGATGCCACCCTTGCTCATTCTACTGAATGATGTTTCTTCCCATATTGTTTTTTGCCTTTTCATCTGTTTTTTCAACCTGGTATCCACTGACGGTAGCTTTGGGCCAGAATACAACTTCTTGATGTAACAATACATGTCATTCCCCGCCCACTCCTCTTGCCAAGATACCCTGAGATACCCTACATGAGGCCACCTTTCCTACAGTGCTATGCCCAGTACTTTGTGTGGCATAATTTTGAGATTTAATAAATATCTTCCTTTAATTTTATTCTTTTTCCTGGTCAGACCATCAGCCTATATATTGATACTTTGTTGAGAATTTTATAACACTGGTTATCCCTTTGATACATGCTATTTCTTTTGATGGCAACCATTCATCTATGTACCATGCTAATGTCAGTAAAATAACACTCCTCTCTAGTTACACAGCTTCTTCTCAGACTATTTCTGATCATACTGGTGTGTTACCACTTCATGGAATTACAGCTGCTGGCCAAGTCATTGACAATACACACGTGAATCGAATACATTAGGAAATAAAATAAAAAGTTATGGACCACTGATTTATAACCATGTCTTCTCCCAGCATACTTTCAACATTTTTGCAAACAAAATATTGTAATTACATTTTTTCCTCTGATGGCTCAAGCAACTCTCTGCATATCCAGGTGATTTTTTCCAAAGGTTTTGATGTTCCACCAATATTTGATTTGATGTATACCTAGCTATACTCAGGAAATGCCAACAATGACATGTTGCACTTCATGTATTGTATTGATTGTGATTAGGTAGTTCACTCATGCAGTCTCCATTTATATAGCCTGAAAAATCTGTAATGTTTCAACATCAGGAAAACCCTCCCAAGGCAAATTAGTCAAAATTCACATAAAATTGTAACATTCACATAATTACAGGTGTTTATGAATAAAGTCACTAAGAATGATAATGTTAGATGTGATTACTTTAATGCAAACAAATGATTAGCAAGAGTTAATGAGAATTATCTGAAGATTGAAAAGGTATGTCTATCTATGTACAAGTTCAACCAGAAGGTGTTGCAGTCCTCAAGGACTGTATCACTCATCCACTCTCACAGGACCATGTCACCAAACCTTGGTATAAGGTGGACACTGTGCTCAATATCTGCCACTGACACAATACTGGACATTCTGTCACCACCACACAGTGATCTTGAGAGTTTATAAAGACCACTGTTTCAGTCAGGAGCAGGTGAAAATGGTATGAACCATTCAATGTATGCTAGGTGAGTAGGAACACAGACCATTGGTGGCAAGAGCAGTGCTGTTGATTTCAGTGGTAAGGCAAAGATCACTCAAACTTGACTGACACAGAAACCTAGGCTCGGTAAAAAGTAAAATGCTCACTGACAGCACCTGTTTACATACCTTGAAGATCCTCTGTATTTGCACCAAGGTTCACAGGAGCTGTATCGGATCAGTGAGCAACCAGACGAGAGCCCAACTTCTGTTGTGGTTTTGCATGGACACTGTCCAAAGTGACATGTGAGTGGTGCAGTCCTCCCTAGAGATGAGAAGGGAGTGAAGATGATGAAGCTGATAGAAGTTGAGATGGAGATGGAGGTGACAAAGCTGATATGATATGAGCAGTGCAGTCCTCTCTGGAGATGAGGAGGGAGTGAAGTTGGGATACCTGGAGATGATGGAGTGAGTTAGAATACCTGGAGATGATGAAGTTGGGATACCTGGAGATGATGGAGTGAGTTAGAATACCTGGAGATGATGAAGTTGGGATACCTGGAGATGACAAAGCTGATATGATACAAGCAGTACAGTCCTTTGCCAAGAGGAGGAAGTGAAGTTGGGATACCTGGAGATGATGAAGCTGATATGATATGAGTGGTATAGTCCTTGGCCAAGAGGAGGGAGTGAAGTTGGGATACCTGAAGATGATGAAGCTGTCTGGAAATAGGAGGTATCCAAGGTATTCCACAGATAAGGAATGGAATTCGCATTTTTCCAGTTTAGCATATAGGTGATGATTCCGGAGTTAATGTAGTACTTCTTGGATGTGTTCCTTATGGGTTGTGAGGTCTTGGGAATAAATGAGGATGTTGTCTAGATACACAACAACACATATATCCAGCATATCCATAAAACCACTATTGACAAAGCGCTGGAAAGCTGCTGGGGCATTGGTAAGACCTTCTGGCATAACCAACCATTCATAGGAGCCATAGTGTGTCCAGAAAGCAGTTTTCCACTCATCCCCTTCTGCTATCCGGACAAGATGATAGGTGGACTGGAGGTCGATTTTGGTGTAAACTTTAGCATGGCTCAGAGAGTCTAAGAGGTCGGAAATGAGAGGCAAGGGGTAATGGTCTTTCTTGGTGATCTGGTTGAGACCTCGGAAATCCACACAAAGTCGCAGGGAGCCATCCTTCTTCTTTACAAACAGGACAGGGGCTCTGTGCGGAGAGGAGGAGGATCGGAGGAGTCCAGTTGCAATGTTCTCATCTAGGAACTTGCAGAGAGCTTCAAGCTCGACCGGAGAAAGGGAATAGATAGTTCCAATGGGCAGATTAGCTCCTTCTTCCAAATCTATCTTCAGATCATATGGACAATGAGGAGGAAGTTGACTAGCTTTGCCCTTATCAAAGACATCTGCAAACTCCTGATATTCCAGAGGTATTCCAGAAAGGTTAGGGGCTTTGGATGAGAGGGAGGCAGACTGGAGATCCAGTCCAGAAGGATGGAGATAGATGCTGAACTGCTTGGATCCTTCTATCTTGCAGGCCCGGCAAAAGGCAACTGCATGAATGAGGGAAATATTCAGACTGGATTTATCAGTGGAGGGTCCTGGTGTAGTCAGAGGAGGGATTTCCACCAGAGGAAGGGGTTCTGGAGGTGGAAGTGATGTCAGAGGGGTTGATGGCATTTCATGAGAAGTCATCCAGAATTCGATACTGCCCAAAACCCAGTCAATCAACAGATTGTGTCAGGTGAGCCAGCTATATCCAAGAATGATAAAACAAGATGAATCCAAAAGGGTAATGTAAAATGTATCAGAGGTAACTACACCAGACAAGAATCAGACAGGGAGGTCTATGGCTTCGGAAACATTGTTATTACAAGTACCATCAAACAAATGGAGAGGAAGTAGAGGGATTCTATTTGTAGGGATTTTATATTTTTGGATGAAATTTGTATCTATGAAGCAGTGAGAAGAACCACAATCTACAAGAGATGGAAATTTGGAAATACTGGGATATGTCTGAATCATGATATATGGACAGAGTGAAGTTGGATCAGAAACAGAGACAGTGTTAAGATGTAACTCCTTTGTATGGGTTGAGATAACATAACCCCCATCCCATATGGAGTCAGGAGGGTTGTGGACTATTTTTTTGCCTTGGATGAGGCTTCTGGTTTGGCTTCCAGAGTGACTGTAGCAGCACGGCCTTTGGCTGCATGACATTGATTTGTTGCAGTCCTGGGCAGTGTGTCTGGGTCCGCCATAGAATAAGCAGAGCTTCTTATCCAAACACCTCTGGTGCTCTTTGGAAGTTAGTTTTCTGTCCTTACCCAACTTGGAGGTAAGGTCCAGGGCCTTTGGAGCAGATGAGGTGGAGGATGTAGTGGGTTTTCTGGGTTTATGTCCAGAATTCTGATTTCTGGATTTGTTACTTCTGGATCTGGATGAGTGGGAGCTAGTCTGGTCAGAGGCTGACTGCTTAGGAGGATTGGATGAGGAGGGATTGGTTTCATGAGAGATCTCTTCCTTGCATTCCCAATAGCAGGCATTAATGGTTTGTGCGAGGGATTTATATTCCAAGAGCATAGCAGGCTTCCCCATGCAGCTGGTTTCATCTTTGATACAAGCTGGAAGTCTGTTATAGAATTGTCAGCATAGGGCTCCATTGCCCCATCCATGGACTTGTGAGGCTAGCCACTAGAATTCCACAATGTACTTATTGATATGCTGTCCATCACGCATATTGAGTTGCTTGAGCTGCATTTCTGCATCTCCAGAGGGGTCATGAGGTCTGAAATTGGTCTGGAGCTCAAGCATGAACTCGGAATAATCATCCATCCAGTCTGGACAATCATTATTTTTGTTGGAAAGGAGGTCCAGTTCAAACCATTCAAGGGCCATTCCTTTGAGATAGGATTGAGTGAAGTTGACCTTAAACCTTCTGGTACAGAAAGTGTTGGGTTTGCTCTGGAAATTGAGCTTGCACTGGACAAAGAATGCTTGGAATTTCTGGGGCTTGGTGCCATCAAAGACATCCAGCTCATGGACTTTGACCTTCAGGTCTTTGGAAATGGTGGTATAACAATTGTTTCAGGCAAGATTGTTGATAGCTCTGGATAGGAGTACCATAACATGATCCTGTGGACCAAGGCTGTCATTCTCATCATCATCATCATCATCATCTGGATTGTTGTCCATATTTCCACCATTACCATCTGGCAGATTTCTGCCAGGGGTATCACCATCATTATCATCATTGTCATTGTTGTCTGGATCTGGTTTGCCCATAGGGGCTAAGGCTGGAGTCTGTAGGGGTTTCTGGATGTTGATGACTCAGGAGTTCTGAGATGCTTCCAGCAGTAGCATGCTGGCTAACACGACACTGAGAGAAGCTATTGAAGGTTTTGACAATAGGAGTAGAATCCCAGTGGGCAGAAACTAGTCTGGCCACTTGGAGAGGGTTTGTTGTCTTGGTAGGAGCCATGATAGATGTAAGTATACTTGGAAAGATGTGAGTTTGAATATACTGTTAAGGTCACATGCTCAAGGGGGTCAGATCACAAGGGCTTGGCCTCAGCTCATATGCTGTGCCCCTTTCCTGAGTATGTGCCCTTAATTTCTGGGGGCTAGAATAGTCGTCCAGAGTTTCCTGGATTTGACTAGGGTAGATAACGGACGTCCAGATCTGAAACATGAGATAAATCTGACAGATGTCCAGATGTTACTTGGACAAGCGGATAAGGCTAATCCAGATGAAGTCTGGACTAGAAACTAACAAGGGATAGACTACCCTAAGGTAGAGTCAGAGATCTAGTCTAGGATGCAATCCTAAGACTCGGAATATGACAAGAGACTTGGCTCAAGTCCAGAGGACACAGGAATGAGCAGGAACTAAGATGATATTCAAACTGAAGTATTTCCGAGAGTTACAGGAGGTTTATATACTGTAGGTATCACATAGGAATCAGTCAGCAAACACAAAGGCTATGTACAAAGCATATGCAAAGTCTATTAGTAAGTAGGACAGATCACCAATAATGCATATTGGAAATGAAATGTATGTAACGGATCAATAATCAGAAGGGAAACATAGTTAACTGGAGTCCAGAGACAGGGGAAGTTTAAATGGGGTTGGGCGCTGATATAGAGTTTGGATTCTGGAAGGGAGATAAAGATAGATCAGATCATTGGAGATCCAGATCTCAGATCCAGATATCCAGAGAAGCAGATTTAGAGTTGAGGGTCTGGAATGGCATATGACAGTGACCCAAAAAGTGCCCTTCACCCTGATTAGGAGTTAGCAGATGCAAAAAAACAGGGTAATGGTGTGGTAATGAGTCAATTGCTGCTAACCCACTGTGTGGTGAAAAGACAGTGACCCAAAGAGCACCCTTCACCCACTACATAAACACTCTGTTACAGCTTTGATGTAGTAAAATTTCCTCCATCCCATTCCCTTTTCTTTGACACTCACACTCATTTTTAAAATATTCTCCTACCTGAGTCCCAGCTTCCTACCCATTCACTACTTTCATGTTCCTTTGTTCATTCAATTCCTACACATTCTAAGTCTCAACAGACGAAGTAAAAAAATGACCATACCTCATGGCACCAAGAGAAAGGCTAGAGAAAATTCAGGTGAGTGACCAGGTGCACCATCAAAAAGAAAACTGACCTGAGACTCACTCTGGAGGCAAGATAGACCAAGACAAAAGCATGCGACATTGACAACAGAGATAGCAGAAGCTCAGGAAGACAAAAGCATGTGACAGCAACAATGAAGATGGCAGAAAGCTCAGGCCAAAGCCATCCTGCACCAAAGAAGAAGACTGGTTCAACTAGTAAGAGTTAATTAAGTTTCATTTGAAAGACTTTAACCACATACTATGTTTTATCAGAAGATGTGCCACTGGCACCTACTCGGAACTTTGGCTCCAAGTCACATAGGACTGCATTTACAAAACCTTCAACATTGAGTGCATCAATTACTCTATGCAAAACTTAAGAAACAGTACTTACATAGGTAAAACTTGGGCAGAGTGTCAGCACAACTTGGTGGATACAGACAGTGACTGTGAACTTGATGATGATATCTTGGAAGCCGCACTGGTGGTTAATAAAAAGGTTAGGTTGCCCTTCACGTGACAAAAAAGGAAGTCTCATATGATGGTGTGCAGTGCATTATCAATGACCAGCCACACTCTGCCAAACATACACTATGCAAGATGTCATGGCATCACCCAATGATGATCATGAACAGAGCAGTGTTGACTCTGATGATGCTAGGGACAATCAGGACAACTGGAATGACAGTGATTCAGATGCTGACCATGGTAACAAGAGTGCTGGCAGTGAGAATGAAGATTTAGACACTACTGCAATGCTGATGAAGTCAGCTATAGACCACTAGCATGCTTGTATTATGGGTACTCACTGGGTTTGAACATTTGAACTTTGAAGGTTGCATCACTTGTCACCAACAAGCAAGTGTCTGAGTCACGTGGCACTTCAAAATCGGCCTGGGAGTTTTCCCAAGATCACAAACAAGCAAGCGAGACTCCAACCTGGGCCAATCTTGATGTTGATGATGCTGTTTTGGGCTTGGAGTCCATTAATCCCACTGATGGTGGTGAATCAGATTTTACTTCTGACAATAAAGACACTGCACTGAAACTTACCTCTGACACTCAAGCATTGCAAAGTGGCATGCATGTGATCAAAGAACATCTTCAATCAGATGAACAGTATGTGTCACAGCTTGGTAACTTGGTGAGTCCAACTTGCATCATTTCAGATCAGTCTCTAACAATTGTCAATGGATACTAGGATTAGTTCTAAAAATATCTAATTAGCTTAGGAATGTTTTCCTGATGAGAAAATGCATCACATGTGATCATAAGCCATATACTGGCAAGAGAAATAACTCTGTTCAGCGACAGAGAGTGAACATTGATTAGCATACATCTACACAACAGGAGGTGGACATAGGAAGACAGTGCTAGATATCAAACTACAACAATTCACAATGACATGGAATGATTACAGCAGTAATATAGCATCAAAAAAATTCAGACACCCATGTATAAGTCTAGTACAGTTGGACAAACATCCTGTGAACACGTGTCACTGGTGAGATGAACGGCAAAACAAGTGAAGACAGTGAGACTGACCAGGAGACCATTGCTCGTCCTCCTGCATCAATCAAAGAAGTTGGGCTTGGCTTTCTCAAGCTTGTTGCAGAACCAAAGGAATACTTCCACAATATTTCTGTATTTGCCTCCATCAGCAGATTCTTGTACTATCCAAGTCAAAAACTGAGGGTAGGTGGCAAGCGGTTCTCCTGCACCAATATCCTTGATGATTAACTTACAGAAGCCTTCTCTGTGCCACATGGAGAAGACTGCCTTGAATATAAATCCAGCGAATGGACATATGTTCCCTTTTTGGTACAAAAAGTCAGCATGGCATGCTGGTTCCTCTCCATTTCCATTTCACAATTGTGGCAGGCAACATTGAACACAATATGAGGAGCATTCAAAGGAGAAGCTGAGTTTAAATTCCTCATAAAGATGCATCGGAATGCTGCCCTCCACGCTGCACCTGTGATAGGCTTCTGGGATAAGCTTGCCAAGATTCCCAAAGTGTACTGGGCACTTGTCTCTCAAGGCACGCATGAACTTGTCCAGGCGTGAGCTGTGGGAAAGACAATGAAGAAGTCCATTGTTAACCAAACTCATTCTTGCAAAAAAAGTGCAAGAATCACTAGGAAGTGATGAAGGAGGCAGAAGTTGAAAAAATGAGGAGCTGCTCGCAGATGGTTGCGAGGTTGTCTGTTGAATTCCATCAGCATGGCTGCATGCCAACAAGACAAAGTCATACAGTGTAGTGGTTACCCAGCAAGCCAGTAGTCCTCTTGGAAATGCCTGGTATCAGCATCAGGACAATATCACACTCGCAGCTTACTCACAGGAGCATGCATGCCCTCCAATGCATTGAGCATCAGTACTTCTAATGATGTGAGATTTGATTCATCCTGGTCATACATAGCATCACTTGACTGGGTCTGCAGCTGGGCAGGCATGTGTATCTGTGGTGCTGACTGGTGAACACAGGACTTGAGTATTTGGATAATCTGAAGACTCACAGGTTGAAGCAGTGTGGACTTTGGATAAAACTCATTAGACATATCCTGTGGATCTTGCATAGTTCTAGGAACACTCAGCAACACATGTTTGTGTTTGTCCTCCATGGAATCAAGCATGAGGGCCTCAAGTGACATGAGCTCTGATGGGCCCTTGTCATACAGAGCATCACTCAACTGGGTTGTCGGATGCAAGGGTATCTGCACCTGTGGAATTAATTTATGAGCACAGAATGTGATAATGGGGACAATGGAAAGACTCACCATGAGTTCCAGTTGAAGCAGTGCAAATGCTGGCACAAACACTGTGCAAATTTGTTGAGAAGCTTGTGTCTGTCCTCAAAGTGAGGAAATACTGGCAACAGTCAGTGGACCTACACACCCAGCCATCTCAAGTGGCCTAAAGGGGTTTTCAATTGCTTCCATGGCTAATTGCTGCATGACACTTATCAGATCACATAGATCCCTTGTGGGTCATTCATGCATCTGACAATGAGATTTTTGCCATCCATACATAGCATGTTGGTAAAGCACCTGCACTGTGTTCTGTGCACTAGATTGTCCAACTCTCCCACACACTGGTCAGTCAAGGGGCCCTTGCAAGCCTTCCCACTATTGTCAGTAAGGAAGAACACATGAGACTCCTTCCCATTGCAACCCACACAGCCCAGCATCTGGTTGTTGAGAATAAGACCATATGATGGCTTAAATATTACCACATAGGTTTCATTTAAGACTAACTACCATACAATGGAGAACTTGTATGTTTGTGTTCACAATTTGATATTAGATGGATCAGCAGAGCTTGTTACAGCATGCTATGTGTAGGGTTCAATGTTGGCTTCCTGTACTTTGTGGACCTGACCAAAGTGCTACCCACTATTACATGGGTACTCATATGAATGAAATTACCCTGGATCCAGTGGGATTGTGATGGTAATGTGGTGGTTAAAGCATACAATGTGTACATCATGAGGTACCATGTCACTTTAGTCAATGTTTGCCATTCATTCTTGTCATACAAGTACAAGTATTTTCCCTATGATTATGTGCAGTAGGCCATGGGATATGGTGGTATCCAGGATCTCTTCACTGTCAGACTAGAGAATTTTATGACCAAGCACCCTTAAATAGCAGAACATTGAATGGCCTCTGATTTCTTTGAACATCCACCATGCCATCAATAACAAAATGCAAGTTCAAGTTTGTATGTTCACTTTGATTTTTGATTTTTCAAAGCATTAATGCAACATTGTGACCTGTGCATAGAGTAACTTGGTTTGAACACATTCAGCATGGTGGTCAAGACACTCATCAAACATTACACAGTGACTATATACATTGCACTGGCTCTGCAAAATTATGTCTTCAGTGGTCTCCAATGCCCCGAGAATAATTCTCAGCAGTTATGGCATTCAAAGAACCTGATGGTAGCAACCAAAATGCAGATCTAACACCAGAATTCAAGACATTAGGACAACCCATGGACAAATATCATCCAAGTCATTCACTCATACCACCTGATATCCCTTCAAGCTGCGTCTCCACTCATTTCTCATGTGTGCTGTATCCTTCTCTCATCCACAATATTATCAGGTTATGGACAGTTCATATCATCTTGTCATGCTCACACCAAAGGTTATTTAAATTTTCTTTATCCTGAATCACATCTCTACACACAACCCCAGTTGTACTGCTTGCAGTCCTAACATGAGCCTGTACTGGCTTCTTTGCCATCACAACATGACATGTTCTTTTTGCTGGGTGCCTCATAATGGCATGTGATCCTGTCTAGCATAGACATTGTTTTATGATTTACTGCCACTTGTGCACTCATATCGCCTGTCTGATGGGGCTGCTAACATGTGCTGTGTATATATACTAGAACAATAGGCACACAGTGTTTTACTGACTTCTACCTGGATTGGACTATTTTCTCCATTGTTTCCCTGGGATCTCTTGTTGTCTTGATTTATGCACAGACAATTTTCATAATGTTAGACCCTACATTGTAAACATAAACTTTTTTATGTTGCAAGTACAATGCTAACTGACCAAGTCCCCTCACAATTAATCCATCATTGTCTGTGCATATTCAAAACACTTTATTGCATGTGGTGTTTGGGTTGCACAGGTGGTGCAGAAAATATGAATAATCCAGACAAATGACAGTATGATATTTCAAAGGCACACAGACATTCAGGCAATGTAGATGGGCCATGGCAATTGACTATAACAGCCCTATCAGTCTTCTGTAGGAAGCACTGGATGATGAGATGAATTATGGACTCTGAGAATCAATCCAAGGAGCCAAAGCATGTAAATAAATAGAGTGAAGGCATGTGAGATACATAGGACTGGTGGATATCATCTAAACAAAGGCATGACAAAGAAAATTTATGCAGCAAATATGAGCATTCATATGAATGTTTATTTAACCATCTACACTCAGATAAGCTCAGGTACCTGTCATGTGACCTTGAAACAGCCAGATTTGGCAATCAAATATTAGCAGATGTATTAGCTGTGTCACAGGTGTGAAAGCATGACAAATCAATTTCCTGAAAGACCCAAACCATGTCAATAGGGCACTTGACAACTCATCTCATCCAAAACCATAGTAAAGAAGAGTTTGCCATGGTAAAGTATGAAATATGTCTCATGTCTAGATGCTAATGCAATATTGAAACATATGAGCAGATGGTTCTGAGCTTGACATCTCATAAGAAGCCTAATATCAAAGCTGGAACATCGGACATGAAAGATGGTGGCCATTCCATGACAATAAGCAGGTGAAAATGGCTTCAATCACTATCTGAAGAGAAGAGGGAGGAATTAAGGCACAAGGACAGACTCAGAAAACAGCAGGAACATGCTAGACAGTGAGAGAACCATGAGGGACATGTGCAGGATGCCACCATGCCACCTCAAGGTGGTTTGTCATGAGATATGATAATAGATGTAAATGCATCTGATGGAGAAAGTGGTGGACCTGTATTGGTGCCAACACTCTCACATCAGCATCATGTATCAAAGCTTGTGTGGGTTGACAGTGATGAGTCCAACACTGAACATAATGGACTTTCTGACACTCCAAATCCCAAGTCCTACCATATTTCATCAACATGTGTGCAGATGCCATGCACAGCTAATGATGCAAGAGATCTGACTGTAGGTGTTATTGGATGGAAGGTACCTGCACAGTCAGCTAGGGTACAATGGCAGGATGGAAGGATAACTGTTCTGCCTATGATAATGAAGAAAGGTGTCAACATTTGTGAATCCAGGGATGTTGAAGTGGTGAAGTTCTTTGCCTCTTTCCCAGAGTCCATTCAGTCATCAAAGCATGTTCTGCACCTACCTGCTACTGATATGGAACATGACAACATTGTGAAAATGGTTGAATGTTCCCTTTGTGACAATAAACCCATTGTGATACAAGGGAACAAAATAAATAATCCAACGGGAATAACAATAGATTGGCTCAACCGCAAGTTCAGAATAAATCCTGATATGCCTGTGTCAATTCATGGTGAGTTTCCAACAATATTGCAATGAACACCATTTGATGCAACCTAACAGATGCTGAAGTGTGTGTCACAGATTCTGCCCATCCTCACAAGTCAGGAACAATTTCATCTCTTGTTGCAGGTATGAATGACCCAACAAAGATACAATGCTGTTCTGGACCTACCATATGTACATGGTGGACTCCCAGAGCCCTTGAGGTGAGTGGGCCAGACATTGAGTCACACTCCACATAATTTAGAAGAACCTCAGAAATCTGGATCATGGATGACACTTTGGATGGAATCAGATAATGCAACAGTGCCCCATTTGCAAGCAAGTACACCCAGACAACTTCACATCCACTTCTGGGCCTTGCTCCATCAGGCTGGATATGTTTTGTTTGCTCATCATGATGCTGATGGTGTTGCAACATACATTCAGATCAAGTCAGGAGGAAAGATGTGGATATTTTTTCACCTCAAATCTCAAAAGGGTGGCTGTATGGCATATGCAAATTTGATGATGAAACTAGTGGACTATCCAAACAACATGGAGGAGGTGTGCAGCTTGTGGGATGCTGAAGTTGTTTATTTGGGTCCTGGAGATTTGGTGTATGTGCATGTTATATGAACAACTATTATTCTCAGCTCTGACAAACATATAGCATACAGCCCCCTGGTCAAGTTCATGGTGCTTACACACCCATGGAAGGCTTTGCAACAGGGGCCTCCTTCTTCAACCTCGCATCAATGCATCTTTCAGAAAGGGCCCACTATATTGATCACAAGAAAGCTGATTTTCTTACCAATCAAACACATGCCTACTCTTACACACTAGAAACAATAAGGAGAGTTGCCATTGCCCTCCCACATCTATTGAGAAGAATCCATAAGTGTCCTCCATCCTTTCAGCCCTTATTGTATGATGGATCATATTTACAGCTCTGTATCATCATTCACTGATAAGCCTTTGTCTGATGGTCATTAAATGCCAGGACTATATTGCAGCCAATGTGGAAACATGTAAGATTCAACCCTCAGAGACTGCTCTGCTCGCCAAAGAGATCTGCCACAATCTCATGACATTTCTTGGAATCAAAAATGTTGGAAGCATCTCTACAATACTCTTTAGCTACAGACAGGACATTGCTGGCAAGCCTGTAGATAGGGACTTGTTATGGAGGCATTTGAAATGATTCAGGGGTCTGGACATGTGATGGACCATAATGAAGTAGGCTGCTGTCTTCAATTTGTTTTACGATACAAGCAGTGAGTATGCATTGTATGATACAGATGTAATAGTTTGATTGTATCTGACTGAACCAGTACCAGCTTTCCATTCATGAGGTGTGAGACATGGAACAATCAAGTGCCAGACCTGCTGCTGTGCCACATTGCTGATGTCCCAGTCAGTACCTTCCACATACTACTCAAAGCACAAATAAAGTTTCATACAGCTATGTGTGTACTCCTTGGATGTTGGACCCTTTGTCCAAGCCATGGATACATTGCAGGGTTTATCATCCTTTTTGTTAATGTCATGATAATCAGCGTATGCATTGTTGATACTTGTTGGTGACAAGCAACGATGCCCTACTTTGTGATTCTCTTAGGCTAGTCCACTGCTGATACTTGAAGTGAAAGACTCACTACTCTCAGGGATTGGAAGCTTCACCTGCTCCTCTGCCAACTCCCAAATCAACATGTCACCCTGACCCAGCTGAGCCCAGTTCCCTAGTTCCATGGGCAAAAACACAATCCAATGATCAATGACTTCATGCTCATCCAGGAACCACTTCACTCTATGGTGCACATCTTTCATGCGAAATGCCAGTAATTGTAGATGTGAATTACTGACGAGGTGAATAACTGCCAAAGGGTCAGATCTGCCTAATATGAGCACCACACATAGGTGCATCAAGGAAACAAGACCCTCTAATGCCACATTTGGTTTATTGAGCATGCAATCATTGGTGATGTTGAAATGTGTCAGGTTTTGGAACACATTTAATTTGCCACTTGATGATGTGAAGTCAATTTCCACAGAAAGCAATAGTGACTTGAGTGGGAGGGCATTTAAGGCATGCCACAGAGGTGACCCATCTGTAGTGAATACTTTTGTCAAAAGCACTAGAAACAGGCATGTAACTCAATTGCAGAGTGAAAGGATTTCTATTAAAGTGGATGATTCCAGAGAACCAACCAGGGATAGAGATCTGATGAATTCTTGTGTGAATTCAATGTGCATTGGACACAGGCAGAGACAATCCAGAAATTGTTTGACTGTCTCTTCATGATACAGAATGATCATTTTATACATTAATCTCTCTAGCCTACAGTGTTATTAGATCAGTAGAAGTCCATCTATGCATTTTGGATCCAATGCACACCATGGATATATCTGCTTTGACACTCTCAGGTTTTCTGCAGTGGTTTCTCTGTCATGCATGGCAAGAGCTATGATTTTCTGCTGGATCTCAAGTGGAAGAGCAGGACACATGGCTAGAAACAGATGAGATGCAGTGATGCCTCTAGCACACTAATCAAATGATGTAACAACAGGGCAATCGATGGCATGTTAAAATTTCCATGTACATCATTGATTGTTCAGTTGATGTGGATCCGAATACCCATTTAGCACAATTACATAATTGTTCTGTTGGATCGCCACATTCAGTATGAGGCTGCCTTGCTATGCTATATGAGGACAGCCTTAGCTGCTGTCACATTGCAATATATATCACACAAGCAGAAGGCACACAAGGATGGGTGGGTGCAACATGCAAACTAATGGCAGGGTTAGTAGCTGTCAAAGTGGACACATTATGAAATTTCCACTGTCAACCTTGTACTAGGGTCGACATCCCTGTACACAATGTACATCAATTGTGTACCAAGCAACTTCAGGAATGCTTGCTTGTATTGTAGTCAATATTATGGTGAAAGACAGCATCACACAGCAAAGAATAATGCAGTCCAAAGGGCATGTCTAAGACATACTGCGCCCTGGAGGCACAGTCCAAAATGAACATACAAGTGATCAACATCCCTGTCAAAATTGTACAAAACTTTTGGAAGAAGCGGCTTTGGAAATGATTGCTCTACAGTCCCAAGGGCATGTCCAAGACAAATCATGCCATGGAGGCACTGTCCCAAGTGACTGCACAAGCAATCAACATCCCTGTACAAAATGCACATTGCTTCTTGAGGAAGCGACTAAGGAAATCATTGCTTGTATTATGGTCAACATTGCAGTGAAAGACAACAGGACATGGCAAGGAATGATGAAGTCCCAAGGGCATGTCCAAGACAAATCATGCCATGGAGGCACTGTCCCAAGTAACTGTACAAGTGATTGACATCCCCATACAAAATGTACATTGCTTCTAGAGGAAGCAACTTGGAGAATGATTACTCATATTACAACAGGTTAGCATACATAATATTTAAGACGTGTCAAAGAATGATAGCTATGTAGAGGAGTGTTCCAGACAAGTATACCAAAGATGATGCATGTTGCATATGGTGTCTTAAGCACATCATAAATCAGCAAACCACACTCTGAAGAATCAACATTACTTCTAAATGATGTTGAAGTTGATGGGCAAGAAGATGTAAGTGAGCGCCACAACACTCAAACTTCAGTCATGTAACCTTCCCATGGTGTGGTTTCATAAGCAGCCATGAGTCAAAGGTCTAGACTATGAGTGATGAATGAGTTATTTAATTATTTAAGAATAGAGGAGCTCAGAGTTGGCCATTGCCTGCTTCCACTGTCATCCAAAACACATTATTTCACAACTTGTACAAAATAGTTCAAAATAAATCAATTTGTTTTCTGCCCCTCCTATGAGAAGTGAGAAATGTCCAGATGTGAGCATAGTGGGATAAGAATTAAGGTGATGACATTGCTCTATAGCTATAATGCAATTTACATACAAATTGAGTTCTTGAGATAGATCCCCAGGTGTTTGAATGATGGTGAGCCACGTGAATGATGGACAAGAATTCATGTATATTAGACTGTTAGCTTTCATTCTGCATCTGATACCCTCTAACTCCAATATCACATCTGGAGCCCTGCACAATAGAATAGATGATGGAATAATTCAGAATCAACATCACATAAGATTCAGGGCATTATATGGAGCATGTTGGTGTGATACTGACGAGATGGTGTCAATATTTTACAAATTCACATAAGATATCATGCATGGCATCTGCAAGATTAATGGGCCAGCGGAGTATGACCAGATGTCAATTTTTGACTTGCAAAAATGTGTTGTTACACCTGCATGAAATCTTAAAACACAACAAGCATCACAATGTAAGTCAGCATAAAAGGGTATGTGTAATTTGAGTCCCCATAACTCAGCATCCAACCTACACACAGATGGCAAATGCTGGAAGTGGAGACAGGTTTGGAATCATTAATTTAAATGCCCCAGACTCAGCTCAGAGGACCTGAACTTGCACTTTTAAGGTGCCATCTCACAATCACACTGCACAATCATGTCCACACATAAGTATCCGATGTCAAAGCCTATTCTCATTTTGAGGATCCCAAAAACTGAGAAAGTATGCCAGATGATTTGTTTGTTGGAGGGCATCAGGTATCAATTGATCAAGCAAACGCTAACTGTACAGTGGGAAGTCAATGGTCCAAGTGTTAGCAATCCCTCATCAGCCACTATAGATGCTGATGATATATATGTAGCTGGTCATCCCAATAAACTGTGCCCATCCATTACTAATACTGTTGCACCAACACAGGGTGCACCAATCATGAAGGAGGATTGGATGGACATGGGAGATTTACAGCTGTATGTGAGCGTGGCTGCATACCTCAGAGATGACATATATGCATTCAAAGCAGAATGGGAGGATGAAGGATATAAGCCCCAATTTCATTTGGCCCACTTGGAGTTCCATATGGTGATGGTACTTGTCATATCCCATAATCTGGACTCACATTCCATAATATTCCCACGCCTTCCGAGCCTACATCCAGACCCCATATCTGACTCATTGCCAGATCCCCTTCTGCTGTGTGCTCCACACCTCAGTAGGATCAACTCCACTCCAGATTTACCCCTGAGCTCCGGACCTCCGGATCCTCACTGCTAGCCTGATCTGTACCACCCTGTCCCATCCACCCTATGCACACTCCATCCAGCAAGACATCCAGACTTCACCTCATCTCAGATTCTGGACTATATCCACCTTCTCATATCCCGGTCCTGTATCCACCTTGTCTTCCGGATCCCCAGACCCCCAGACCTCCAGATATTAACTCCAGACCTATTCCCACCCTCTGTCCGATATCCTGCACCAATCCCCATTTAGGCATCTCTGCCTTTCTGGCTTTCGGTTACCTCCTGTTTCATCTTGCTTATTGATCCTTGTACAAGTCTTCATCTTCAAGTTCATTTACTTATGTTCCATCTTACTTACTAATGTGTTTCCACATGCTCGTACATAGCCTTGCTCCTTTGCTTACTGATCACCTCAGATATTGTCCAGTATATAACCCCTGTAGATACTCCTGTAGTTTCCTTAGTTTGAATATCAACTTAGACTTGCCCAATCCTCTCTTGGACTTTGGTCCACCTAAGTCTGTCCTACTCATCAGGCCTAGGGATTGATTCCCTAGGCTGGAGCTCTGCCTTTCCGGCACTTACCCTCTTTCTGGACTTAGGTCCAATCCCTGTTCTCTCCAACTCTACCTTAGGGTAGTCTACCTCTGTTTGCTTCTACATTGGACTGTGTCCAGTGTAGCCCCTATTCCTTCCAGACCTCCAGACCTCCAGTCCCTCATACCTCTGGGCATCCTGTCCTTCAGACGTTCTGCCCTCCATACCTTTGGACATTCCATCCTCCTAACCCTCAGACATCCTATCCTCCTGTCCTTCTGTCCTCCATCATCCTGCCCTCCAGACCTTTGGACCTCCTATCCTTCCATCCTATTTCCTGTAGAAGTATTACCTTGCAGTGGGAACTCTCCTGCGCTCTTCCAGACGTTTCCTGCGCTCCTCTGGAAGTCCTCTAGCACTCTCCACCAGAGTAGCCAGCCTCCAGAAGTCCTCCGGACTTCATCAGACTATCATCAGACCTCATCTGAAATGAAAGGCCCATACTTGAGTAATGGGCACAGTGTACGAGCTGAGGCCAAGCCCCTCTGAGTCAGTCTCTCTCTCTGAGCAACATGGATCTTAACAGTACTAATGGGTGGCATGTTCAATGATAGAAATGTGTGACAGGTGCAACAGAAGTTCAATGTAACATGGAATAACTTTATGGAATGCATGGAGGTGACTGATGTCATAAAGTGTGAGCACAGTGCTAATCAAATGTCTGTCACATTACTTATCATCCATTATATCAGTGAACGACAAGGAGAAGGCTTATCATGAATTGGTTTGTAGCAAGAACAAGAATATGTGTGGTCTAGATTCTTACCCAGGTATTGACCACAGGAAGGGATCATTGGATATGATAGAGAGATTTATCAAAGATAGGGAGGCTGCATGGACATCCAAGAAAGAGGCTTCTCCACCTAAGATGAAAAAATCTCAGGAATGTGCAGGAAAGACAAAGGTAAAGTAGCACATTCCTAATGAACCAGAGGTAAGTAATCAAACAATCTCACACTCAATGTCATGACAAGGTTGATGGACTTTGAACCACATAGGCACCTGCACAGAGAACATCATGTTATCATATACATAGTAGAGCTTCAGAGGTTTTATATGTAGCCAGAGCGAAACAAAGAGCAACAGTCAATCCTGTCAGAACTCTGGATGAAGGGTTACTCAAGGACAGTCAGTGGGAAATCACTGAGGTACCTGCAGTAACACATGTTGATGCTGGAAAGAGCCCCATAAGGCATGGGGTGAGTTTTAGGACTATCTGTGTGAGCAGGAATGTCTCACCCACAATTTAAGCATGCTTTGAACCCTGTCCTACCATTGTCTCAGGATCACACAAATACTTTGATGAACAGAGCCTTCATAGAAGGCAATAGAGTTCTTGTGAGCAGGAATCTGGTTTCCTGGATGATTGAGCAATATTGCATCCTTGTTGGCATCCCACTAAATGAGCCCCTCCATGGACAGCTCATCCCACAATCACCAGATGAGTACCACAATCTGACAGAGCATGACTACTTGGAGGCATTAGGCATAGAATGCCTGTATGCACCATTGGTAAATGCAGAGGAGAGCCCTGATCATCTGATCCATCTCACACATGCACTTGGGAGGGCCATCAAAGAGACTCACGCCTTGTCTTATTCCAAGCCCAGCACACAGTACTTGGACCCCCTACCACCCATGTTTTTGCCCATCCCAATGATCCCATGCAGGAACAGGTGATTCACAGATAATGATGTTGGTGTTGTAACCACCATTTCAGACCCTGACAGCTCAATTGACTCAACAGATACAGGTGATCATGATGGATCTGTGTCCAACAACGCATGTACTGCGAATGCACATTCTGCACTTCCTGGCTCAGAGACCCAGGAAGATCTTATTGTCATCAATAGCAATCTGATCAGCAATGCCTGCTCAAGACACATTACACATGTTGATGACAATTGTGTGCACATCAATGTTAATGATGGCCACCCCGATGTAATGGATACAGAGGCAGTCAGGGGTGGACATGGTGATGACAACAACAATGATTCAAAGGATGGTATGGATGGAGAAGGGAAAAGGAAGCGAGTGGACTCACTGGCTCCATCTCCCTCAGTGGTACTACTTTTTCTTGACAAGGTGGGCACCAATCTCACTAGTATTGTTTACCAGGCTCATGACAGGGGAGGCAAGAGAAAGTGTCCAAAGCCCCTGAACTCAATATTGGACTTGTTAGCAACAACTCATGATGCCCTTGCTGTAAGGTCACCTCATTTGATAAAGAGTGATGGGACCTTGACTTTAGGGGTATGGTCCATGCCTCATCACCTCCTACTTGCAGGACCTCCTCCAACTGAAGTGGCTGAGAAAAGCACATTGGCCACAGATCTGGGCAAGGAATCAACTGCTAGGAAATGCATTGAGAAAACCAATACCCATGATGGTAATACAAGGCAACTTCCTGCTGCAGCCTAGGTATGATCATCTGATAACATCTGTGGTCCAAATGTCTGATTTATTAGGGCTGGCTGGAAGAGTTCTGAATGTGACTATTGTGCACTTGTAAGAGAAATATGATGATTATGGCATGAGTCACATGTACTAGTACACTGCTATAACAAAAGGAATGTGTTTAAAGATCTTACTGATGTGTGGAGCAATATCACCTGAATTGATAGGAGTCCAGATCATGCCCAAGTTGTGGTACCAAGTAATTATGGTGACAAATCAGAATTTCTCACGTTCTTGAATGTCAAGTGTAATCAGTTCAATATCTTCACCAACATGAGTCAGGTAATATGTGATGTTGTGCAAAAAGTATTTGAATTTTATGTAAGGCCTTGGCAATGATCGGCATGTTTCACTTGGTCTGGAACCTGCATTTGGGTGATAATATTTTGGGACATGTTTGTTTCACATTAGGTCCCATTTTCATTGAGCTCATACACATTGTGAAAGGGAATTTTACTTGATCCCCACACCTCAAGTTCAATAAATAGAGATCCATTCTAAATTAAGATGACCTGAAAAAATATTGGAGCAGTCACATCAAAAGTGATTTATACAGGAGACATATGGCTGTGTAGTGATCAGGTATAACTGACATAGAAACTGTTAAGCAGTCTAGGATACAACTAGGAAAGAAAGATGGAGAAATGAATGTAGGTAGCACATTTAAGTGATAACATTGATCTGCTGTGAATGAATTTGGTGAAGGGATTATTCTGTCTGCTTGAGAGATTAAAATGATGCCATGGAGGCCTGACAGAGAACATTGTACAGGCAACTGTCCGAGTATGAGGTCAGAACTGTGTGGCTGCTAAACAAAAGTGAAATAACATACCTCTGAATGACTACACATGGCACATTTTATTTCTTTCCTCTGCTATCTGCATGTTAATAACAGTGGAGGACACTGGCTGCACTTTGCATGGAGTAAGGATTGAGCGATGTGCAACATGGCAACATCTTGGAAGTGTAATCAGTGATACCCAGGCTCACTGGACTACAGAGAGGTGCGTGACAGTGGTGGGCATGTAAAGGATTTGTGGAAATTTGGTAGACATGTGGTCAAGTGTGAATGCAACATGGGTAGTGGAGTATCCATGGATGCCAATGACAGTGCAATAGAAGGTGTGTGTGCATTGTTTAATATTGAACAAAGGTGATTGGTGACCACTGAATGGGTAGGTACTGCTGATGACCTGGATGGTATCTCCAAATCCAATTTGTGCATCATGAAGTCCATGGAGGAACTCATTAAACAGAAAGTTCCACACACCTGAACATGAAGTTGAGTCATTAGGGATTGGAGATACAGAGAGAATACTCACTGATGGCATGGATTTAAGTGTAGATATGATTGAATGAAAGCAGAGATATGGCAGGGTGCACCGTTGCATAGTTGATATTTAAAAGAAAAAAAGTGACACACAGTTGGTGTAAAACAATGAAATAATGCTCATTAGGAAGATCAATATATGATGACACCAATGTCACAGGTGCAGATGCAAATGGAGCCTATGGGAAGCCTAACTACTTACAGACAGAATGAAGGTGGGTTCATATGCGGTCAGAAACCAATTGGATCACAATGGAGCAAGGAAAATAAAGTTACGCGTCATGTTACAACTAATGGTACATAGTGATGAATAGATGGGTACAACTTCAGCATGTTTGAGTACAGGGTTGTATCATGCTATAGAACAAAGTCCCATCAGAACCTATGCCCTGTAATCGATAGCACAATAAGATTGCAGGATCCCTGGAAATGTCATATCCCATGATCCCGACCCACATTCCATCATATTCCCACGCCTTCCGAGCCTATGTCCGGACCACACTTCATATCCAACTCATTCCCAGATCCCCTTCCGCTGTGTACTCCACACCTCAGCAGGATCGACTACGCTCCGGATTTACCCCTGAGCTCTGGACCATCAGATCTCCACTGCTAGCCTGAACCATAACCCCCTGTCCCATCCACCCTATGTACACTCCATCCAGCAAGACATTCGGACTTCACCTTGTCTCGGATTCTGGACTCTATCCACCTTCTCATATCCTGGTCCTGCATCCACCTTGTCTTCCAGATCCCCAGATCTCTGGATATTAGCTCCGGACCTATTCCCACCCTCTGTCCGATATCCTGCGCCTATCCCCATTTAGGCATTCTCTGCTTTCCAGCTTTCAGTTACCTCTTCTTCCATCTTGCTTATTGATCCTTGTACGAGTCTTCATTTCCAAGTTCATTTACTTATGTTCCATCTTACTTACTAATGTGTTTCCACATGCTTGTACATAACCTTGCTCCTTTGCTTACTGATCCCCTCAGATATTGTCCAGTATATAACCCCTGTAGATACTCCTGTAGTTCCTTAGTTTGAATATCAACTTAGACTTGCCCAATCCTCTCTTGGACTTTGGTCCACCTAAGTCTGTCCTACCCATCAGGCCTAGGGATTGATTCCCTAGGCTGGAGCTCTGCCTTTCCAGCACTTACCCTCTTTCTGGACTTAGGTCCAATCCCTGTTCTCTCCAACTCTACCTTAGGGTAGTCTACCTCTGTTAGCTTCTACATCGGACTTTGTCCAATGTAGCCCCTATTCCTTCCAGACCTCTGGACCTCCTGTCCCTCGTACCTCCAGGCATCCTGATCTTTGGACATTCTGCCCTCCATACCCTCAGACGTTCTGTTCTCCTAACCCTCAGACATCCTATCCTCCTGTCCTTCATACCTCTGGACATCCTGTCCTCCTGTCCTCCAGACCTTCGGACCTTCTATCCTTCCATCCTGTTTCCTGTAGAAGTATTACCTTGCAGTGGGAACTCTCCTGAGCACTTCCTGTGTTCCTCCGGAACTCTCCTGCGCTCCTCCGGACATTTCCCACACTCCTCCGGAAGTCCTCTGGACTTTGTCAGACCATCATTGGACCTCATACGAAATGAAGGGCACATACTCAGGTAAGGGGCACAGTGTATGAGCTGAGGCCAAGCCCCTCTGAGTCAGTCTCTCTCCCCCTTGAGCAACATGGTTCTTAACAGGAAATGTTTATTACATGAAAGCAACAATTTATTTGATGAATCAATAAACTTGAAGACATGATGTTGTTGTTCTCGTGTCACATGGATCTTGCAAGAGGATATTTGCTTTGCTCGCTGATACATGTTGTTCATCTGTAAAGTGATGAATCTGATATGTAGAAGTTAATGAGAAAGTCTAACATAAGCATGCAAGAATGGAGGATCCTATGATTCCTGTACAATAATCCATACTGAGCAGACCTGTGCATACAGAATGAGGGTCAGCATCTAATTAGAAGATCCTCATTACTTAGGTAAAATTTGCAATGGGCAACTCATACAAATCATGTACATTGGTTGCAAATATGGTGAAATGTCACCTGAATATGAATTTGTCCATTTTTGAGTAAGACCTGGATTGGCAATTTTTCTGTGCTTTGTGGACCTCGCTTGTTTAGTAATCATGATGAGGTCTTTGCACATTATGAACCCTTTCCTCCATTGTTGTCTAAATCTATTCAACTCATGAACTGAGCGCGTTCATGGAATGTATAAGCATACCTTGCTGCAGAATAGGTTGGTTTTCTATGATTAATGAACCTGACTATCTCACCTGCCTTTCTGCAAGCATCATTGTGTTATTCTTTGCTAGCTGCTTACCAGACCATGCATCCAGATCTCAAGTATATGGTCACATCTGCACATTGAATATGACATTTGTCAAATGGATAATGCTAATGTTAGTCCTGTGCATGGAGTAACATGGTGTATGTTTCTTGCAGCACCTTAAGCGACACTAACTCACTGACAACAACTTGTAGGGAAATTATTATCATTATGTCAAGTCTCGACTCAATTTGCTAACAGCACTCATAAGTATGCATAGATATGCAATACCCAGTGACAATGGTACTGCTAGTGAACCAACAGAAATATTGCAACAGAAAAAGGAAGACATATGGGTAATGTTGGGCTGTGGGATATATACAGGTCAGCCTGGTCTACTACTTATCATTCCTGCACAAATTTCCTCCTACAGAATCTGTGGCAATGTCTTCTTACTTGAGGTGTCTTATATAAAAGTGGTCAAAAGGCAATGACACCACAATTACACTTTTGATAAGACTGAATGCTGCCAACAACCTCAAGTTCAGCAGTCTATGACTTTTCTTCTTTCATGGTAGATAATGTGGCATTCGTGGGAGGTTACCTGCTATACAGCCTGGGGTTTTATTCTACCTGGTTGTAAATAGGGGTTCTACAATACAATCCTAGCTTTATCTGGCAAGACAGATAATGTAGAGTATGTAGATAAAACTTTATCTAGTCTTGTGTTTGACTAGACAAATAGAATAGAATTTGTAGGTGAGTCTCTCTAGTCCTATGTTTGACTAGACAGAAAATAAAGAATAGGTGTGTACTATGCACAAAACTAGGTGGCAAATAATGCTAGATATTCCCCTGCCTTGATATACTAAAGGACTTATAAAAGGGAACTAGGTAGAAGCTGATTGGATTTCCCTGCCTAAATGCAAAGGGTTTAATCCAAGGAAGATGATATGATACAAGAGCAGATGATCCAACAAAGGAATCTCCAGGCACAGATAATATGGCTTGACTTGGTACTTCTAGTCCTCTGAAACTATATGTCAGATGCACACTAGACAGCACAGGTACAGTCAAGAAAAGAATAAATGATCTCAGAGCAAGTAAACCAAATGTACTTGGTCTGCACTTCCTGGCTAACACAAAGAGTGTCAATGTCAGAGAAAGTGGAAGAAGTGAAGGTTCTTTCAAATGATAAAAGAGATTCTTATTTTTATGGGTGGAGAAGTGCTCTCCTTAAATACATGAGATGGGAGAAACTGTGTAGTACCAAGAAATAAGGTTGGAAAGAGAAATGACATCAGAGTTGCATCATAAATGACCTCATTGTGGAGCAAAGTGGAGCAAAAGTGGAGCCAAGTGGAGCAGAACATTCTAGCATCCAATGACATCACTATGACATCATAGATGGCTTCATAGTATCCAACAGAATACTCCAGAAATTTCTGTGGAGCTATATGACATCATCATGACATCATACCCTGCAGGTACATTTTGTGGAGTCTCTGGGAGGTCAAAGAATCAAGTAGGTAAAGAAATGAAAGAAAAATATGAGGAAAATGAAGTAGAACAAATCAAAACACTGGCTTTTTAGATAGGGTTTTGGTAGGCTTTTATCTTTTCTCCTTGGTTATTTCTAGTCAAAGTAAATAAGCCAAATGATAGGCAATAACCTAAGCTTTTGTATGACTATCAACTTTGACCAGGTCAATTTATGATTTCTTCATCATATTTGACTTTTCTTCAACACACCATATTTTTGCATGATTGGAGCATGCAAAGTGAAATATTGCACTTGAGTCTGTACTCAAAGTACGTTTTGTGTAGTCTGAGGACTAAGCTAACAGACTATGGAAATGTGGGATGATATGTCATATACATGTTCTGCATGATTCCCAAATCATGCAGGACACTGGAAGTCCTCCATGTTATGAACTAGGATAGTATAATGATAGCAGCTTGATAAGAGCAATGGCTAAAGTTATGGTCTAAACCTTGCAAATACAAGGGTCTTAAGACAAGACAAAGAGAGTGTCTTTGTCTTGAGTATCAGTCACAACAACTTAAGATTGGAGGTCTTAAGTGAAGGAATGTTCAGGTAAAAACCTAGTAGATTAAAGTAAAGAACTTCTAAGTACATTGTTGACTATATATAAGATGTAAGTGACTTTAGGGCAGGTACATAAATGTCAGCAATGAGTCAGAGATAAGTAGTGAGTCAGAGATAAGAAATGAGTCATCTAACGATGGCTGCAGCAATTGCAATGTAATACAAATATAGAAGACGAGTCTAGTGATGGTGTGGCATCATGCAGTTATGATGTAATACAAGTGGAATGAAGAAAATGAATAGGGGCACATGTAACTGTAACAGGAAGTCCTCCGGACTTCATCAGACCATCATCGGACTTCCTCTGAAATGAAGGGCACATACTCAGGTAAGGGGCACAGCATATGAGCTGAGGCCAAGCCCCTCTGAGTCAGTCTCTCTCTCCTTTGAGCAACATGGTTCTTAACAGTAGTGGGGGATATGAGACTGGCCAGCACCTATGCTACATGTTAACCTAGTAGTAGGTAAGGATACTAAGGATAATGAATTGAGCTGGCCAGCAGTTATTTTACATCTACCGGCCAGCCATGCTGGTGCTAGTACATT